TCCTTCCTTTAAGGACATTTCCCTTCTCCTATTTTATATACACACCCCAGCTACCAAGGAAAATGAGAAATATACTTCTGACTCCATATGGCCCAACTAAAATTTGAGAGTGCTTTCATTATACGGGTGAGGGAAAATAGATACTGCGATAAATAGTAGTTTCTGCTATAATTTGTGAGAGAATCTGTGTTTTTTATATATAGATAAGATTAACATTCTTTATTGTCTAGAAGAGCAAGAATTGTGTTTCTTTGAGTCATTTTTATTTATTTGAAAGGCAGAGAAAGAAAGATTCTTCATCTGCTATCTTACTCCCCAAGTTCCCCCAACAGCTGGGCCTGGGTCAAACTGAAGCCAGGATCCCAGAACTTAACCCAAATATCCTCTGTGAGCAGCACGGATCCTACTGCCCTCACCTACTGTCCTCCAGGGTGCCCCTCAGGCAGGCTGGATCGGAGGGCAAAGCTGGGCCTTTCTGATATGGCACATGGGCATCCCAAGCAGCATCTTAACTATTGTGCCAACCACCTGCCCCAAAATGTTTTCGATGACCACTTCAAGCGTGAATGGATGCTCTCTTCTGAACAGAATGCAATTAACTAATGAGATTTTACCCTCCTGGACTCCCTGAATTTTGATCAAGACTCACAATCCGTCAGTGTTCAATGCATGGAGCAGAAGATTTAGTTAGGTGCTAGGGCACTCCTACTTAGGAGGCAGTTGTCTTAAATGGTATCTTATCCAATATCATATGGCCACAGTTGAACTTTTTTGTTTATGTGGGGAAAAAATATCAGAAGAGATGAATAGTTTGGTTATAATATTTTTGTGTTGGCTTTTTAATGGTACATTCATTTGTAAACATAAAGCACACTGAGGGCCCGGCATGATGGCCTAATGGATAAAGTCCTCGCTTTGAACCAGGATCCCATATGGGCACTGGTTCTAATCCCAACAGCTCCACTTCCCATCCAGCTCCCTGCTTGTGGCCTGGGAAAGCACTTGAAGATGGCCCAAAGCCTTGCGACCCTGTACTCACATGGGAGACCTGGAGGAAGTTCCTGGCCCCTGGCTTCAGATCGGCTCAGCTCCAGCTGTTGCAGTCACTTGGGGAGTGAATCATCGGACAGAAGATCTTCCTCTCTGTCTCTCCTCCTCTCTGTATATCTGACTTTGTAGTAAAAATAAGTAAAATTTAAAAAAAAAGAATACCTTGAATGGAGATTGTTAAGCCTTTAAGCCAAAAATACCCCCTAAAGTACTGTGGCAATTGATTGACAGTGGAGGAATAAATAAAATGTCATCTTAAGCAACAGAGAGGTTTCCTAGTAACCACAGAAAGCTTCGGTTCTGTTCACAGAGGCTCATTCTTTTAATTGGATGGGAAGATTTAAAGAATGCAGCTGGGAAGAGGTGGAGAAATGCAGGAGCTGGGCAATTATTAGTGGGCATAATATCACTAGTCCCAGGCACTTCAGCCAAAGGGTCACAAAAGACTGTATTTATTCTTTGTTTAACAGTATAAGAAACCACCCAAGCTATTGTCAGATCACAATTTTGTGTTCTTAATTGTGGGAAAAATGAAAATATGGAATTAGGCATAGTAAAAACTGCAATGCAAGGAAGCAATTGGCCTAACAGTTACGACGGCAGCATCACATATCAGAATGCCTGGATCCCAGTCCCAGCTCCGGGTTCAGCTTCAGCTTACCTTTGATACACACTTGGGAAGTGTAAGTGATGTGCAAGTGTTTGGGTCCCTGGCACCCATGAGGAGACCCTGGCTGATTTCCAGGCTTTGGGCTTATCACTGGCCCGGCCATTCATTGTGGGCATCTGGGGAGTGAGCCAGCTGGTGCAACATCTCTGTCTATTCCTCTTTCCATTCTCTCCAGTAATTCAAACCTTTTAAAGTGCAATGAAAGCTCTGTATGATTTAAAATTACCTAAAATGACAATAGTCTATGGACAGGGATATATTTGTATTCAAATGTCAGTGTTCTATTCCTTAACGGACTCAAAGTGGTCATTTGGTGTCAGTGCATCTGATCATTCCTCTTTTCCTATCTGTGTTCTGTTGGACACAGGACACATACTGCTTTATGGAGAATTATGGTCATTTCTGCTCTCTCTCTCTCTCTTGCCTCCAACAATAAAATTAGGAAAAATCAAGTTACCAATTGACACTGATAAAGATTGTTTTTAATCCATTAAGAAACGTTAGAGTAATTTTTTCCTATGCTCAGAAAGGAGCTCAATACATACATTCTCAACTATAATGGGAGAGGTTCTGCTTTTGAGACTCTTTTAAAAATGCTTGTCATTTGACCTTAAATTCTTGAATAAGATTTACAGAGTACTATTGCCTGGTCACAGCTGTTCTTGTCACCAGGATGGAGCTTAAAACCCAAAAGCCCCCTCTAGTGACAAAGAGCAAGTTTTTCCACTAGTCAGTAACATGATAATAGCAAGCTGTACAGTTCTGCTTTCTCATTTAACTATTAAACAAACCAATGCTACAATATTTTGATTGGAGAAAAGCTGAAAATAGTCAACAACATGAATTCCCAAGCATTTTCAATAATCAATATCTAAGGGATTTTGTGATGAAACAAAGGTCCATACCAAGTACACACATAGCACTTAATTTTATCCTGCTATGATATGCACACCCTTTAAAAGTTCTCTTAACTTCTTTCACTGTCATCCTTCAGGGACTTTCATGATTAAAATATATTCATAATAACCTGAAAAACAGAACAAATATTATTTTGACTTTTTGCTTCTTGTTGTTACTACTGCACTAGATGGACAATTTTCACTGATGGTGCTACACATGTACAAACAATTCTGAATCCCAGGAATTCTCTGTGTTATGAAAATAAGGATCGTATATAAAGATACAGATTGGGGCTGGCACTGTGGTGCAGTAGGTCCAGCCACCAGCTGTGATGCCAGCATCCCATATGTGTCCCAGTTTCAGTCAAGTTGCATGCACATGGGAGATCCAGAAGAAGTCCTGGCTCCTGGCCTCAGACACTCCTGGCTTTGGCCAGTGTGTCTATTTGGAGAATGAAATATTGGATGGAAGATCTTTCTGTCCATCTCTTCCATTCTGCTCTTAAATGAACAAATATTTTTAAAATATGTATTAATTATATAATGATAACATATTTTAATATAATAAAATGTAAATAATAAGATGTATTATGTGAATTACACTATATGTTATGGTGTGGATAATACACATTTTATTTTACTTATAGCCTTAATTCCAATGGGCTTAAAACTCATAAAGAAGGAGACATGTTTAATGAAATTAGAATATAGTAGAATAAAAGCCACCTTCATAGTCATGAGATTTAAAGAAATAAAGGAATGTGCTATGAATATTATCACAACTGAGGACAAATCTTAATTTTGAGTCTCCCGTCAGCTACGACAATAAGGGAGATCTAATAATACACTTACACATGTTGTTTCATTAGGAGAGACAAAATTTTCCTTGTAAAATGCAGATATTCAGATCTTTAAATATCTGCAAAGAACACAGTTAAGATCTGGTGCAATAACCTAGTGTACATCCTCCCCTTGCACACCCAGGATCCCTATGGGTGCCGGTTCTAATCCTGGCAGTCCCACTTCCCATCCAGCTCCCTGCTTGTGGCCTGGGAAAGCAGTCAAGAATGGCCCAAAGCCTTGGGACCCTGCTCCTACATGGGAGACCTGGAAGAGGCTCCAGGCTTCAAATTGGCTCAGCTGTGGCTGTTGTGGCCACTTGGGGAGTGAGCCAGCAGATGGAAGATCTTCGTCTCTCCATCTCTCTGTAAATCTTTCTTTCCAATAAAATAAATCTTTTTTTAAAAGAACACAAAGCACTAGAATAATTCCTGAATATGAATTGCATGTTTCTATATTCTGCAGCAGTCTTGAGAAAGTTGGCTGAACAGGGTCCCTGCAGCTGGTCGTACTGCCCAGCAGAAGTTCCTTCTACAGGAGGCTCAGGCCATCTTCTGCTGCTTTTCTCAGGCTGTCCATACGGGATACCAGAGTCTCAGGTGGACACTAGCCCTTGCATACTAATTCTAATACCTGTGAGGTTAGCAGCTTTTTTTTTTTTTAATACTTTGTAAAAAGTGGGAGCTAAAGCTCAGAGACGTTCAGAAACAAATTCAAGATCAAGCTGGTGAGAGGCAATGTCTGACTCCAAAGGCAATTCCTTTTCCCCTTTACCACACTGGTTCTCAGCTGTGCCTCCCAGAGGACACTTGCAAATACCTGGAGACAGCGTGGATGGTCACAACCGAAGGTGGGGCAGCACGCTTCCAAGGAGCCCAGACTAGGCAGGCACCCCGACCTCTGCTCCTCTCCTTAACATCACTGTTGAGAAATTCTAGAAACATTCGAAGATTCCTTGTTCCCATTGTAATTCTATTTCCAAGGAGTCAAAGGTAACGGCTTCAAAATTATAGTCAGCCACGCTTAAGTCACCCCCTTCAGTCGCATTACAGCCTTCATTCCGCAAAGGAAAATGGAATGCAGCTTGAGAATAAAAGAGGGCAGGCACAGGCGGGGGAAGGCAGTAAGCAGAAGGAAAATTCACATTACCCGAAGGTAAAAATGAAGATAAAGATTTTTTTTTTCTATTAACCTTAGAGTTCCCGGACTCCTTGGAAATGCAGTTATGTGGAACTGCTTAAATGAGATTAGCCTGACTTCGACTAATATTTGCATTTGATTTTCAGGGGCTGGGGACGACCCGGAAGACACGGATGCCAAGTGAAGGCAGCTCCTCTCCCTGTTCTTCCTACAAGGATGAGGTGACCGGTGGTGACTGGACTTCTGACAGGCAGCCGCCCTGGGCGACAGACCAGCGCCGTGGGCGGAGCTGCAGCCGCCAACGTCGCCCGCGCCGTGACGTCACAATCGCGACGCCGACGCCCGGGTCTTAGCAACCGGGCTGGCTACAGTGTGGCGCCCGCGCCTCCTCTTTCCCAGACCTCACAGCCAGGGCTGGGCCCAGCCTGGGGGAAGACCGGCGGGACCCAGCGTGTCCCACGGCGGCTGCGAGAGGACGAGCATGGACGGCAGCCGGAGAGGTAAAAAGGGCAGCTGTGGCAGTCGCTGTTGCTTTGCTGGGCTCTGTCGCGCTGACCCCGGGAGCTCGGGCCGGGGCAGCCTGGCCTCGAGGCAGAAGAACCGGGTTCGTTCTTTGCCAGTTTAACAACCTCCGTGGGCCCTGAGTCTTCCTCATGTGTTGGGGGAAGGGGAGAAGTGTGAGATATCCAGACCCGGAGTTCTTGAAGATGAAATAGAAGGTTCGTGAGACAAGTATTCGAACCGAGTCTCCCGCAGGACCCTTCCCTAGAATATGAGTAGGAACCAGGTTGACTGGGACTTGCTGATTTAGAAGTTATGGGGGGTGGGGAGTGAGAGGCCCCGTTTCTGATAAGCTTCCCAGTGAGGCCGGCAGAGCCGCAGACTGCGACTAGAGATTGGAAAGACTAATCCCTAAGCTGTGGTCGCGTTGCACCTGCGGCTCCCGGAGCCCTCCCAGTCAAGCGGTACAAACAGGCCAGATCCGAATCATCTGTGTCCTCACACTGAGCTGGTAACATTTCTGTGCTCAGGCTAGTAATAAGGCAGATGGCAGACCGCCTCCCGGGTTTAAAGGTTTTTTTCTCTTTACAAGGACACCTTTGTTTGCTTGCATTTTATCATCATATTTTTATTCTTAACGACTTGTGTTGTAGTTTCTTACCCATAATGAAAAGACAACTTTCTTTTTTTTTTTTTTCTTTCTTTCTTTCTTTCTTTCTTTCTTTATTTTTGGTCACACAGACACGAAAGGAAAGAGAGGTCCCTTCTTCTGGTTGACTCCTCCAGCGGTTCGGGTGGAGGCAGAAGCCACAAGCAGGGACCACCACCCACATTTCCCGTGTCTGTAGCAGAAGTCCAGTTGTTTGGGCCGTTGCTCTTACCTGCCAGGGTCCCCGTTAGCAGGATGCTGCAGTCCGAGGCGCCCAGTGGTTCCTCGTTGAACAGCCTTGAAACTTGAGTGCACCTCAAAAATAAAAGCTCTTCCGAAGTCTCTGTCGATCAGAAAGCTGTATCATCTGACCTTTTACCCCAAATCCCAGAAACGCCAAGCCAGAAGACTTCTGTGGCCTTCGGAAGTTTTACAGTGTGAACTAACATGAAACCCTTGCTTGTATGGCAAAAATTAGTCTTAAATCACTTAACCCACAGAACATCTTGTTAGACAGGTGTTACAACGAAAACAAACCAAAAACCCATGTGTTATCCTTATTTCATAGAGAACAGAGGCACCTGAGTAAAATGTCGACTCTGAGCGCAGGTGAGGAATCGCCACCCTTTACAGTCTACATGCTACAGGAGAGGAGGCAGCACAGGGAGGGGACACACACAGAACATTAGGAATGGTGGATATCATGTAATATACTATCAAACGTTGTCAATTACGTGTACTCAACAATGGCTGGGATGGTCAGTTCTCACACATCTTAAGTTACTAACAGAATGCCATGTATTTAGGCAAAGAAAAATAACTAAATTTCTCGTGTTTCCTGAGGTTAGTTTTGATTATTTCAGAACATCGGACACTGAAGTGCCACAAGAAAAACAGTGGTGTTTGTTATTTTCTTATTTTAGACCTTTTTCTTTTCTTTTTTTGATGAGGTAAACCTTCAAAATGGCAGTATTATAGAAAGAGTAATTTGGTTTATAATCTGTGACTTTCATCTTCCTGGGCTTTAATTCTTGGTGAAACAGAGGCTTGGACTAGGTAACCTGTAAGGTGCTGTGTTTCCAGCATCTTTTAGGGAAGTGAAAAGAAAAAAACTGAAAACACTAAATTCCTTTGCACTGTTTTATGAGTGACTTTTGGGAAGAAAAAGAGTGGAAAGAGTAATAGGTTAGGGTTTTTTTTGTTTGTTTGTTTGTTTGTTTTAGAATCAGGCATGTGGCCTGGTGTTAGGATTCCCAGCATTCCGTGACGTGTCATAGTGCATCCCAGCTCTGCTCCAGTTCCAGCTTCCTGCTAACGCACACCTTGCAACTCAGCTGGTTTGATTGACCCCTGCCACCCACAGGAGACCTGAACTGATTTCCCAGCCCCTGGCTCGGTCCTGGCCCAGATGGGCTGTTGTGTGTGTTTCGGGAGAGCGCTGACTGATGGGAGTTCCCTCTGCGCCCACCTCTCTGTCTCTAAACATATTTTATCTATTTGTCCCAAGGCGATAGTTATCCATGCTGACTACCAAAATTCCAGTATTCCTAAAAGCCCTGCCATAAGAAAATGACTCTACCATCCCGCTGGAGAGTTCTTTCTGGCCGTCTTTAAAATCAAATGAGTCATGCTGTCATTTGCTGCTGAATGTGTCTGTTCTACCAAGACCTTCAGTCTGATGTACAGGATTCCGGTCTGAGGATGGAATTCTGGTTTGGGGCTACTTTTCCAAGCCCATTCAGTTACTCAAGTCCAATCAGAAGAAAGAAATCTGCACAGTGATTTAAACAAGGGAATTGTTAAAACCATGTCAATGAGTAACTATAAAATACAAAAAAAAAACTGTAAGGTTGCCTAGAGCCGATGGAGGGTACTGAAGGAAGGAGAAATTTGAAAGGGGAATTCTTCCCAAAGACTCGGGTTCAGGTCCTATTAGAGAAGTGTGATTATTCTGACGCCAATGGTTTTACCACTGAGGGGGCAGCACCAGAGGCTTCCCTCTCCAGGGGAAACAGTCAGTTGCTTAGCCCAGTCACTGAACAAACATGAATCACAACAAAGTGGCCCCAGGAGAGGATTCTGTATGTGGAGTTGTGACACAGTATTACCTTCTGTGTTCACTGGAGTCATGCTTGATGCCTACACGGGACGCAAGGCTGGAACCAGAAACCGCCTTAGCTGGTGGTGGTCCAGAAGCCTGGCAACTCCCGACAACACCAGCTCTTGGAAAGCAACACTTTGACCTTTGACAGAATAGTTCCTCTCCTCAAAAAGTGATTTTAGTGATAATCTCTACAACAGAAAGGCTGAATTGGTGTTAAATGTAACAAACACATAAAAAGATATTTTAAGAAGATAAAATGGCTAGTTTATCGATCAGGCTTAAAGCTATAAAGGTGTGAGGAGGATGCCAAGTCTAGAATAAATATGGTTAACTAAAACAAGGAAAGAAGCATCAGACCCAAAATTCAGGAGCAGATGGTGAAACTTGCTGGAATAAATAAAAGCAACTGGAGACAAAATGTTGATGAAGCTGCTTCTGCATTACAGGTCAGAGCTGGAAGAAAGATAAAAGACTTGGTACAAGTCAAGCTCAGGCTGTCTGCGTGGTGATTAGTGCAGGCAGGGAGGTGGGAGGGGTTTGTTAACTGCTGTTGCCAGAGTCTAGGGGAGTAGAGGGCCTTGGGCCAAGGAGTTAAGATTCTAGTTAGGACATGTGGATTTCAGGGTTTTGTTTGTTTGTTTGCCAGTTAATCCTCTGCCTGTGGCACCTGCATCCTATATAGGTGCCAGTTCATGTCCCAGCTGCTCCACTTCCCAGCAAGTTCACTGCTGATGACCTGAGAAGGCAGCAGAGGACGGCCCAAGACCTTGGGTCCTCACAGTCATGTGGCAAACTCAGAAGCAGCTCCTGAATCACTCGGCCGTTGCAAATCAGGGTCCTACCTGTCAAACCTACCTTCTCACAGTGGCATGGGTCTCTGCCCCCACATAGCTGTTTCCACACAAACGGTCCCTGTCAGACTTCTCAGAGCCCCACTGCCCGCGCTCTGGGTGGGCTGCAACCTTACTCTCCCTTTACCTGCTGTCCTGTTTTCACTTTTCTTTTTCAATGAAATATTTCTTTGAAAGGCAAACTTATAGAATAAGATGATCCACCTGCTTGTTCATTCCGCAGTGAGCAGGGTCTGGGCCGCCAGGAGTTTCACCCAGGTGTCTCTTGTGGGTGTAGGGGCAAAGTACTTGGCCCATCTTCTGTTGCTTGTCAGGCACATTAACAGGGAGCTGGATCAGAAGTTTAGCACCAGTACTGGAACCAGCGCCCGTTCGAGATTTCTTGCCTTAACTGGTTACCTTCTCACCTGTTAGTACATATAAAATTCTTTTTTCTTTTTTTTTTAAAGATTTATTTTATTTTTATTGGAAAGGTGGATATACAGAGAGGAGAGACAGAGAGGAAGATCTTCCATCCAGTGATTCAGTCCCCAAGTGAGCGTAACGGCCGATGCTATGCCGATCCGAAGCCAGGAGCCTCTTCCGGGTCTCCCATGCAGATGCAGGGTCCCAAAGCTTGGGCTGTCCTCAACTGCTTTCCCGGGCCACAGGCAGGGAGCTGGATGAGAAGTGGGGCTGCCGGGACTAGAACCGGTGCCCATATGGGATCCTGGGCATGCAAGACGAGGACCTTAACCACTGCGCCACCACGCCGGGCCCGAGTACATATAAAATTCTAAAACCCAACAGAATGGAACCTCTGGCTCTGCCTTTAGGGGAAATAGCAAGATTTCTATTATACAGAGTTATTTCTAAATTAATGTGCTCTAAAACCTTTATTATTATTATTATTATTTGAAAAGCAGCATTACAGAAGAGGAGAGAGACTGAGATGTTCCACCTGTTGGTCCACTCCTTAAGTGGCCGCAGAGGCAGGGCTGGATCAGACCAAACTCAGAAACCAGAAACTTCATCTGAATTTCCCACATGAACCCAGGTACTTAAGGCGTCTGCTGCCACTCTACCAGGCACACAAGCAGGGAGCTGGTTCAGAAGTGAAGCAGGCAGGACGTGAGCCAGTGCCCATACAGGACGCTAGTGCTACAGGCAGTGACCTCACTGCCACATCACAGTGCTGCCCCTAAATAAATGTTTGTTAGATGGGATCAAAGAGGGGACGAGTGACTTGGCCTAGATGAATTGGTTGGCCTTAAGGTTTTAAATCATATACTTTCTGGCTTTCATACACTTTTTTTTATCTAGTAATATATGATATAATTTGCAATTACTATCTTAAAGTTATTTTCAGGCTAGACTCGCCTGCAGTTAGCTCTAATAGTAATTGCACATCTATCAAGAGCTTAGCTGTATTACCCTAAAATAGTTTAAAAATCTAGTAAGAATAAAGTCAGTGTATAACAAATGATACTATTGATATATTTATCATGTTATCTCTTAAAACCACAAGCAACAAGTGACCAAAAATAACTTATTTTCTTAAAAAAAAAATTGTGTCTGTGACTATTCAGTTTTTTCCATTTGATAAAGCACAGCTAAATTATGTGAATGAACAAATGTTAAATGACTTTGGTGAACAAATTGCTCTTTAAAAAATATTCGTTTTTTTTTAATGAAATTCCTTTTTATTTATCCTCATTTTTTTGTTTGTATGTTTGTTTGTTTTGGTTTAAAGTCAGAGCAACCTCTGTCCTTCCCAACTTTGGTCCACCAAGCCTATTTAAAGGACACTTGAGTACCAAAAGTAATGGTAAGTCAAATACTTAAAATGGTTACTTTATTAGAAGACTATTGTTGTTTTTTAAGATTGTATTTATTTATTTGTTAGAATTAACAGAAAAAGGGCCTGGCACAGTAGCCAGTGGTTAAAGTCCTTACCTTGCATGCACCAGCATGCCATGTGTGTTCTGGTTCATGTCCTGGCTGCTCCATTTCCGTTCCAGCTCCCTGCTTGTGGCCTGGGAAAGCAGCAGAGGATGGCCCAAAACCTTGGGACCCTGCACCCTCCTGGGTAACCTGGAAGAAACTCCTGGCTTCTGGCTTTGGATTGGCTCAGCACTGGTCATTGCGACAACTTGGGGAGTGAACCAGGAAATGGAAGATCTTTCTGTCTCTCCTTTTCTCTGTAAATCTGACTTTCCAATAAAAGTAAGTAGGTCTTTAACAATAAAAAAAAAAAAAATTGCAAAGGAAGGAGAAGCATAGAAAGAGATCTTCAACCCAGGGCTGGGCCAGACCAAAGCCAAGAGCTTAGAACTTCGTCTGGGTCTCTTGTGGAGCGGCAGGGGCCCAGGGCGGTGAGCTGACCTCCATGCAGCTTTCAGGCACAGGAGCAGGGATTGGAGGTGGTGCTGTGACACGGGATGCTGGTTGCAGGAAGCAGGTTAACTCATGCCACACTGCTTGCCATCGGAGTCAAACGTCCAAAAATATATTTTTAAAAAAATTTTTTTAATTTTTATTTTTATTGAAAAGGCAGATATACGGAGAGGAGAGACAGGGAAATACACAAATGTGAAACTAGATTTAAAATATACATACATGGAAAAACAGGGCAGGACCAGTGCTATAGAAAAACAACTATTGAGTATGTACTCTTCTGTTGTGCAGAATTTCCCTGTAAGGACTCGTTTAAGAGTTGCAGAGAAATGGACAAAAATAACAATAATATAAAATGATATGTGCAAAAATATGTCACAGAGTATACATCTGGGACAGGAAACGAAGCATCAGCATAGAAAAGTCACTCACTTTCAATCACTATTTGTCATTTTAGCTTTCACTATTTTAAAAAACCAATGCTTACATCTCAAAATGATTTTTCATGTTTTAAAAATTATTTCTTTGCTTTTTATACTAGTATGTAAGTGTTTAAGTATTTTAGATGACTTAAGAGTTGTTATGTACTTTTGTGTGTTTATACTGAAGATAATCCTACAACTTCAGGAAGGATACGCTTTACTAATTTGTTGATGTTGTTTTTAGGTGTAGTTAGAAACTTGCTTCTCACAATAGAATCTTTGTGTAAGGTTTTAGAGTATTGGCTTCATTTCATTTCCGAAACTTCATGGATTGTTCAAGTATTACCAATGGTAACATAATCCAGCAAGTTGCTAAACCTTTTTTATTCAAAAGATGAGACTCAATAGAAAGAAATTGTTTTAGAGATTTAGTAACAGATTAGATTCTAGGCTCTTCTGCCTCAGACTCTCATGTCTGTAAAACTTGACCTTGGAAGGGTTTGCATCCAGGTCATCAGTAGGTCATCAATGTTGTCAGTGTGAGATTACGACTAGGCCATAAGAATGAACTTAGTGAGCTGTAACTTATGATTTTATATTGATTTTAAATATGAAATGATTAACTGTGTTTTGATTTGTAGCTTTTTGCACTGACTCCTCTTCTCTCAGATTAAGCACGCTCCAGCTGGTCAAGAATCACATGGCTGTCCACTATAATAAAATCCTTTCAGCCAAAGGTAAGAATATGCATTTTTAAGCCTCCATTTCCCTTCTCATTAGCATAACCTCAGCTTTGAGGTCACTTATATGCAGTAGAATGCATTCATTATAAGTATACAGTTAAATGTTTTGAAAAATGTGTGCATACATGCAGCTGTTGCATCACTTGGGGAGTGAGTCATCGGACAGGTCTTCCTGTTTCACCTCCTCTCTGTATATATGACTTTCCAATAAAAGTAAAATAAATCTTTAAAAAAAAATCTGGGACCCATGCTTTGACACAGTGGTTAAACCACTGCCTGCACCATCCTATATGGGCATGAGTTTGAGTCCTAGCTGCTCCACTTCCAATCTAGCTCCTTATTAGCATGCCTGGGAAAGCAGTGGGTCTATGGGTCCCTGCCAGCCCCATGGGAAACCCAGAGGAAGTTCCTGGTTCCTGAGTTCAGCCTGACCCAGCTCTACTAATGTAGCCATTTGGGGAGTGAACCAACGGATGAAAGATATCTCTGTCTCTTCAAATTAATTAAAATACAAACAATAAATCTTCATAAGTATAAACATTTTATACACATGCATACATACATATAATCTATTTTTTACAACTTTTTTTTATTTTTGAAGATTCATTTATTTTTATTGGAAAGAAAGATATACAGAGAAAAGGAGACAGAAAGATCCATCTACTGGTTCACTCCCCAAGTGGCCATAACAGCTGGAGCTGAGCTGATCCAAAGCCAGGAGTTAGCAGCCTCTTCCAGGTCTCCCATGCAGGTGCAGGGTCCCAAGGCTTTGGGCCGTCCTCTACTGCTTTCCCAGGCCACAAGCAGGGAGCTGGATGGGAAGTAGAGCAGCCAAGACCAGGTGCAAGGCAAGGATCCAGCCACTGAACCATCTCATCGTTCCCTTGACAGCCTGTTGAAGATGTCTGTGGCTGATCTTAGCTCACTTAGATTTTAAAAATTATTTTCTGGATGGGAAGTGGAGCTGCCAGGATTAGAACCAGCGCCCATATGGGACCCCAGCGCCTTCAAGGTGAGGACTTTAACCGCTAGGCCACACTGCCGGGTCCTTGTTTCAATTCTTAAATTTAAGTTTATGGGGCTGGTGCTGTAACATACCACCTACAGCACCAACATCCCGTCTGTTTTCCTGCCAGTCCTGCTCCCTGCTAACATGTCTCTGAAAAGCACATGACCCAAGTACATTGGTCTCTGCTGCCAGTGTGCAAGTCCTGGATGGAGCACGTGGCTCATACCTGGGCCTAGCACTGGCCACTGCGACCAATTGGGTAGACCAGCGGATGAGAGATCTTGTCTCCTTGTGTGTGTCCCTTCCTCTAACTCTGCACTTCAAATAAATAAATGAATACTGAAAAATAGATCTCACTTTGTAATCCATTTTGAGTTCTTGTATATGGTATGTAAAAGAAATGAAGATTGCCCTTACTGAATTAATATTGCATCTTTTTAAAACTCCATTGATTGTATATGTATGTCTATTTATGAATTTAATCTTTGGTTCTGATGATCTCTATCTTTATGCCCATATCATACTGTATTACTTAGCATAGCGTATTTGAAGTCTTCAACTCAAGCCTGTTTTAGGATTTCTATTTCAAATATGTGAATGTTCATGATATAAGGCTGTTAGGTTACTGGTACTCTGTTTATTTCCTTTTCAGTTTTTGTTTTGAATGTTCATATTGTTACTTTAAGTTTACTTACATTTTCTGTAGTATCTACTGAGCTATTAGTCCCAACCAGTGTATTTTTATCATGAGAATTTAAATTTTTCGAAAGATTTTTCTATTTTTTTTAAAGGCAGAATTGGGGAGAAACAGAGACATTAGATTATCCACTGGTTCACTCTCCAAATGGCCACAGTGGCAGGGCTGTGCAAGGCCAGACTGGGCACTCTAGCAGGAAGCTGGGTCAAAAGTGAGCAGCTGCGACACCAACAGGTGCCCATACTTGATGCCAGCACTGCATACAGCAGCTTAATCCATACCACACCAAAGATCGTCTCTGATTACTGTGTTTGTAATCTCTGAGAGTACGCTGAAAGTCAAAACATGAAACTTTTGAGTTCTGAAACTTTTTGTGATTTCCACATTTGATATTATTGTCACTTAAAAATATTAGTAATATTTTGGGCCCAGCGCCATGGCCTAGTGGCTAAAGTCCTCGCCTTGAACGCTCCGGGATCCCATATGGGCGCCGGTTCTAATCCCAACAGCTCCACTTCCCATCCAGCTCCCTGCTTGTGGCCTGGGAAAGCAGTAGAGGACAGCCCAAAGCTTTGGGACCCTGCACCCGTGTGGAAGACTTGGAAGAAGTTCCTGGCTCCTGGCTCCAGAAGATCTTCCTCTCTATCTCTCCTCCTCTCTGTATATCTGACTTTGTAATGAAAATAAATCTTTTAAAAATATATATTAGTAATATTTCTAAACAGCTTATTTCTCTCTCTCAGCTGCAGTAGACTGCTCAGTTCCAGTAAGCATGACTACAAGCATCAAATGTAAGTAATTCATGGCATGTTGCTTTTTTAGAAAATATGACAGAAAAACAAAGTTTACCATCTTAGCCATCTGTGAAGAGTCCAGTGTCATGAGGGACAACCACTGCCATCGTCTCTGTCCAGAACCCTCTTCATCTTGTGTCCACTAAGCTGCAGCCCTTCCTCCCAGGCCCAGACCCACTGCTCTGCTTTCCATCTCTCTGCATTCGGCTGCTTTCCCTTGGCCGCTTTCTTGTGCTGGTTCATGTGCCTCAGATAAGCTAAGTCATTCAATGTTTGTTCTCTCGTGACTAGATTATTTCATCATTTAGTATTTATAATAATAAATAAAAGATCTTTAAAAATATTCCCCACAGTTACAGAGCACGTGCTGGGTTAATGTTTTTCGGTTTTTTTAAAGAACATATCAAGTCCCTTTACAAAGGAATTGTGTCATTTCACATTTCCGCCTCTCGTGGCAGGAGCATTTTAGTTTTCCATGTCTTTACTAACACTTGTCACTGCCTTTCTGATAACCGTCATTGTGGGAGGGTGCGGTTCCTCAGGTCTTGGTTTGCACTTCCCTTCTAACTCGTGGTGGTAGCGCTTTCTTTTTCACCGGCACATTGACCATTTTTATAGCTTTGGTGGACATACTCAAAGCTTGGGCCAGTTTTACTTATTTAGCTATTGATTTACAAGTCATTTTTATATTTGGGATGTAATTTCTTTGTTAGAGACATGATTTGTACATATCTTTCCCCCAGCTGTTACTTTTTTTGTTTTCTTATAAGTATGCCTTTTGAAAAACTGGAAGGGCTTTTAATTTTGATTACCTAAGAATTTTATCCTATTAGCTTTACCTCTAAGACTGCAGTTCATATGGAGTTGATGTCTGGTTGGTCCTGCTTTGCCTAGGAGTAGAATGATAGATCTGACTGGAAGGATTCTGCGTGCACCACAAGCATTGTCAGCTACTATAATTTAATTGATATGTTCATAACTAAGTGCTTAAAGTTCTAGAATAACCTGAAATTGGTATTTCAAGCTAACATTTCCAAGGGTAGATATGCATCTTTACTTTAGCATGCTTATAATATTAATACTTATCCTGACCATTAAGATGGAATAGATTTCAATGAAAGACCATTTTTTTTAATTATGTATGAAAATATGTAACAGTTTACACTTTAGTTTTCTATGTAATTCTGAGATTTATCTTTCCCTAAAAACTAGTAATTTTGGAGGCCAGCATGATGATGGACTAGGCTAATCCTCCACCCTGTGGCAGGGGCATCTCGTATGAACCCTGGTTCGTGTCCCAGCTACTCCATTTCCCATCCAGCTCCCTGCTTGGCCTGGGAAAGCCATGGGAGATAGGCCAAATCATTGGGTCCCTTTATCCATGTGGGAGACCCAGAAGAAGCTCCTGGCTCCCAGCTTTGAGTCAGCTCAGCTCTGGTCATTGCAGCCATTTGAGGAGTGAATCAGCACATGCAAGATGTTTGCTCTCTCCTGTGTAAAATCTTTTAAGTAAAAGTAAATAAATCCTTTTTAAAATAATCATTCTTGTAATTATGGAAAAATAATATGGTACTGATACATTTTGAGAGAGAAGTCTGAGTTTAGTTCAGAGTATGACATACGCATTTGGTGATTACACAGTCACAAACAACATGGTCAAGAATTTCTAACTTTCATGGCTAAGAGTATTTGCTAGGAATTGCTTTTTTAAAAATACATTTAATTATTTCAAAGAGAAACAGAGGCAAGTATGAAAGAGATCTTTCACTTCTCTTGTGCCCACAGTGGCTACTTCAGACCCAGAGTACTTGAGCCATCGTCTGCTGCGTCCAAGGTGCCCCCTGGCAGGAAGCTGGAGTTGGAAACAGAGCTGGGATTGACACCCAGGCACTCCTACGTGGGATCTGGGTGTCTCAGTCACAGCTTGACCATGCTGCACCAGACGCCCACTCGAGAATCCTCCTCCAGCCCTTGCATTTGGCCAGATTGTCACATCTTTCTTTTACTTGTGCTGTTTAATCTATTTAGACTTTCCATAAATGAAAAAGTGTGTGTGTTTTTATTTTTATCATATATAAAATATTTCTGTTAAGAAGATATTTATGTTGTTTTGGTCTTTTGTTTCGTATCTTAAAAGATTTGTTATTCCCCTTAGATGCAGACCAACAACGAAGAGAGAAACTCAAAAAAGATTTAACCAAATGTGAAAATGAATTCAAAATAACTAAAAATGTGATGCAGACTAATTCTAAAAACAATTCCAAGTCATTTTTTAAAACCATGCAAAAGGTAAGTTGACATACTTTTTTTCAATCTTTATTATTATTTGAAAGGCAAATTCACTGAGACAAAGAGAAATCTTCCATTTGCTGGTTCACTCCGCAGGTGGCCATGACATCCATAGCTCAGCTGAGTCAATTCAAAGCCAGGAGCCAGGAGCTCCTAGTGGGTCTCCCATGCAGGTGCAGAGTTCCAAGGACTTGAACTGTCCTCCACTGCTTTCTCAGGACACAGGCAGGGAACTAGTTGGGAAGTGGAGCAGCTAGGACATGAACTGGTGCCCATATGGGATGTTGGTCCTGCACGCCTGAGGATTAGCCAGTTAAGCCACCATGTCAGCCTCAAAGCAAATTGTTGCTGTTGTTAAGATTCATTTTTATTGGTCCAATGGTGTGGCTTAGCAGCTGAAGTCCTCGCGTTGAACACGCCACTGGGATCCCATATGGGCGCCGGTTCTAATCCCAGCAGCTCCACATCCCATCCAGCTTCCTGCTTGTGGCCTGGGAAAGGAGTTGAGGACAGCCCAAAGCCTTGGGACCCTGTACACCCGTGTGGGAGACCCGGAATAAGTTCCTAGCTCCTGGCTTCAGATTGGCATAGCACCAGCCGTAGCGGCTCACTTGGGGCATGAATCATCGAACAGAAGATCTTCCTCTGTCTCTCCTCCTCTCTATATATCTGACTTTGTAATGAAAATAAAATAAATCTTAAAAAAAAAAAATTACATCTTAAATACTTGCATAGAACTTTGTGTACAATGCTAACATCTTCAGGAATATATATATTAATATTGTAAACCTGAAACAGCTTTTTCTTTCTTTAACTTTAATCTGGAGATCTCTGCGTGAATGTGTTGTACAATTGGTGACAATCCAATCACATGTTCTCAGCCCTCAGGGGAACCACAGGAAGACGTGTTTATAGAAGAAGTAAACGGGTCTGCATCCTTGGCAAAGTCACTCGTCTCTTCCACGGAAGGACCACTCCCAGGTCGTCCTAGATCGGGGAAGGTCCTCATCGGCGGCGCTGAGAACTGCAGCTCCACCCCGACCTGCATGGACCACACAGCCTCCCAGCCCCACAGGACCTCCTCTGGGCCCTTGTACAGCAGAAGGCCCAGAAGCACCTTTCCCAATTCCCACCGGTTTCAGTTAGTCATTTCCAAAGCACCCAGTGGAGATCTCTTAGAAAAGCATTCTGAACTCTTTTCTAACAAGGAACTGCCATTCACTCCACGCACCTTAAAAACGGAAGCAAAATCTTTCCTGTCTCAATATCGATACTATATGCCTGCCAGAAGAAGAAAGGGCTTCACAGACGAACAGGTAGAAGCTGAAACTCAGACTGAATTTAGCAGGTATGGTGTATCAGCAGCCGGTCGTAAATCCTTCAGGCACATCAGTGAAGAGAGATTGAGTACTGTTCCTTGTCCTTTGCTTCATGCTTCAGGGTTTCTCGGTATACTTCTGAATGAATGACTTCTTCTATGTGTCATTTGAGCTGTCAGAGGACTGTTCAGAGAAACGTTTACTTGCTTTTAAATATACCTTCAAAGAGTGTGAAATATTTGTGTGAATATGTGTACATTAATTCATGTTGAATGTGGCAAAATGAGCTAGAAGGATGGGAGGTGGGAGGAAGGTAACTCCCTCTGCGACCCCCCCGTTTCCCTCCATGCAAATGCTCACACCAGCTTTTTATGGCAAGAACTGCCCAGGAATAATCTAAGCAATTGGGATAATTTTTGGAAATTATTTATACTTTGCTTCAGGAATGTTTTCACATATCGTAGTCTCTGGCACATGATAAGTATTCAGTAAGAGTTGGCAGATAATTAAAACAAATCTTGTAGAATATTAAGGATGAGGTAGTTTGCATTTATTTTTCTAGTGTTACCTAAGTAATTTAGCTAGTGTTAGCTTATAGTTATTTTTGAAAGTAAAGAACAGTTTAAAACTAATATTCCTTTGGGTATAGAAAAAAGCTACAATATTAAATAGGTCTGTGTGTATTCAGTCAATTAAGGAGTTGAGTCTGTGATAGAACTTGTTGGGGAGAAATGATGATAACTATAGCACATCCTTTTATACACATGTTTATGAATGTTTCCAAGATAATCCCATTTTGTTTTCTGTTGTTTCTAACTGAAATCTAGTTGTAAGCCAAAAAAGGAAAAAACAACATATGTAGTTCAGACTGTATCTCATTCCTGGTTACATATTTAGGAATTACATGTTTAGCGAGAATAGATGGGCCTCTTTCTCTTACGTTCATCTTTTTCTAGAGTAGAGTTATCACTTTACATTTTAAAGAAGTAATAATTGTTTCTTTTAATGTGTTACAGCTTTCATTCGGGTTTGGGGACAGCTAAGAGTAAGAACTTGACAAATTCAGAAGGGAACATACAGCAGGTAATAGATCTTGTTGTGTTTCCAAGTTGAGCTACCTTAGCATCAATAGAATGTGTGTAGACGGACTGTGAAGAATAAACCCGTAGTGGCGCTTGCTGCATGTGACCCCTGGTCCCGCAGTGTTGCCCGTTTACGGGTGACCATAGTTGTCGCTGAAATCCTGCCAGTCATTGGTGGTTAGCATCTTTACTTGATGATTGGCTGGACGAATGGTTGGATAAATGAAATGCCTGAGTTACTATTGTCAGAGCTACACTCTTGAATTACTGAAGGAGCTAGCAAAGTTGTACGGAAGTTACTTGACATTTTATGCTATACTTTTGTAAAGAACTGCCACTGATTGTGTTATTAGACATGTATTAGTATTATTAGACAGAGTTGGTGGATGTTATCCTTTGTTTGCCCTTGCCTTTTCGAAAACTACAAAGCTGCTTGTATTTCGAATGCTTATCAGTCATATATTTTAAAATATCACAACTTTAAGTCTGAATTTGAGGCAAACTTTGTTTAAAGATTCATTTACTGTTATTGGAAAGAGAGAAGGAGAGACAAAGATCTTCTGTCTGCTGATTCACTCCCCAAATAGTGGCAAGGTGGAGCTAAGCCAATCTGAAGCCAGGAGCTTCCTCTGGGTCTTCCATGTGGGTGCAGGGTCCTAAGGCCTCGGGCCATCCTCCACTGCCTTCCCAGGCCATAGGCAAGGAGCTGGAAGGGAAGTGGAGCAGCTGGGACATGAACCAGCACACATATGGGATCCAGGTGCATGCAAGGTGACAATTTAGCCACTAGGCCATCGCACCAGGCCCTGTGTGTGGGTTTTTATGATTTATTTATTTTTATTGGAAAGGCAGATTTACATAGAGAAGGAGACAAAGATCTTTGATTCATGGTCTCATTGCCCAAGTGGCCACAACAGCCATAGCTGAACCAATGCAATGCCAGAGCCACATTCTATCTCCCACATGTCTGCAGGGTTCCCAAGACTTGGAGCATCCACCATTGCTTTCCCAGGCTGTAAGCAGGAAGCTGGATGGGAGGCACAGCATCCAGGACATGAACCAGCACCCCTGTAGAATTCTAGCACTTGAAGGTGAAGGATTAGCCTGTTGAGTCATGGCTCCAGCTCCTGGTGTTTACGTTTGGACAATCAGTCATGTTCTGTGTCCTAACTTAAATTTAGCACTTATACGGGCATTTGGCCTAATGGTTAAGATGCCAGTTAGGGTGCCCATATCCCACATGGGAATACCTTGATTTGAGCCCGGCTCTGGCTCCCGACTCCAAGTGCCTTCGCCCTGTGAAGCCCTGGCGATGGCTGAAGTCACTGGGATCCTGCTACCCGCCCCCAGACCTGGCTGAGTCCTGGCTCTCAGCAGTTGCAGGCGTTTGGCCAGAGAACCAGCAGATGAGCGGATTCTTCTGTCGTCCTCTCTCTCTGTGCCTTCCAGGTAAATTAAGTAACTGAATTTTTAAATAGTATGCTGCTAATGTTGTTCATCCTGCCAGTGCTGCCAAGCTTCTGCATTTGAAAGAAAGGAGCTATTTTAATTTCTGAACGATGAAATTTTTTTCTATGTTTATTTTTGATGGTTTATTAATATTTAACATGCTGTTCATTCAAATGCAAGAAATATGTTTTATCTTAGATTAATTTAAAAAGTGCTGATTGAATAGAAATGCTGCTCTAAGATGTTCTGCTTTACATACTGGGCACCTCTGTTCATGTTCTCAAAATGTACTCTATTTTATTTTTGCTTTCATGGTATACTTTTCAAGCAAAATAGTATTTTTTTTTTTCTTTTTCTTCCATTTCCAGGCATCTAGTCGTTTGACACGCGATACCGCAGTGGACAAAAGTCCTGTGTCTCGACAAGGGCCCAGCAGAGCTCGGGACGTGCTGGAGGGTAGTCCCTCCCGGCGCCTCTCCCCCAGGTAAGCAGAGCGCACTCCTGGGCGAGACAGGTGGGTGAAGTTAGGATTGTCCAGAAAAGGTTTACATGAGTTTTTCAAGCTCACTAATAAAGGGACAGTACTAGCTGGCTTTGTTTGCTTCATGGTTTGTAGAAAAGGACCTTTTATTTTCCAGGATATGTACCCTGGCAGTGCTAACATGTTTGTGTGGAGAAATGGTACCGAGGTACCTTACCATTTGTAATTTTGAATATTCACCATAGGTTATGCTTAATATTTGTACTCACGCTGCATGGAGGCTCTCTGAAAACATTCCTATTTCTTAATTATGGATCACCACGCCTATGCAAAAATGTATGACCAGCAAGTGGTGGGACATCAGAAGATGCCTTTGATGAATCTGGCTGTCAGATCAGTTTCTAGGAGTAGAAATGGCCTGTGAGACGAGGGGCCAGGAGGAAGAGATTCAAAAGGGCAAGAATGAGGTTCTAGGGACCAAAGAGAAGGACAGTGTCCAGTCCCCTCGGGCATTCACTAACCAGTGTGGGTGAGCTCAGCTTGACCCAGACCATACTGAATATGCAAACACTGGAGTATTGTCTTTGCTGATCGTTGCTGTCTGGAAGTAAAGTAAAATATTATAATTTAAAAATCAACTTTGCTACTTGCTAACATTAACTTTGGCAAACTAGTTTGCTTAATTTACTAAATAATAAATAGGAAAATACCCAGCCAGTGTATTTGACTGGATAGTCTGGATTAAATTAGAGCACTGTTATAAAAGTGCCTTAATTCTGAAACATATTATAGAATATAATATTGTTGAATACTTATGTGCTGACCATTATTTTATAAAATATGTTAGCATTCTCTCTCTAGAACAGGTTGTCACTATTCCTTTCCTTTGCATCCTCCTGTAGAGAGTACGATTTAAGATCTTTTGACTGCTTCATTTTGTAGTATGGGAATCATGAATTAACGATTACAGAAACCAATACTAAATAAGCCAGGATTTAATACTAATCTCTCACAGCCAGCCTACGAATATTAATCCCATAATACAGACTGAATCTGGGAAAATGATCAGAGTTTTCTGGAATAGTTGCCTACTTTTTAAAAATAATTAGCATCCATAATTCTTGTTTGTTTTTCATATGTGAGTGTATGAAGAATTTTTAGAGAAATGTAAACTTTTCATGATGACAGGGTACTCCACCAGAGTCTTCTAAACTTACCAGAAGTTTGTGTATACTAATACCTGTAGGTTGTGATGTTGAAAATAATCTGTTTTGCAGTGTTTATTCCCAAACTGGCAACTTTTGCTTTTTTAAAGATTGATTTATTTACAGAGAAAAGGAGAGATAGGTCTTCAGTCCACTGGTTCCAGGAGCCAGCAGTCTCCTCTGGGTCTGCCCTGTGGAGACAGAGACCCAAGTAGTTGGTCTTTCCCAGGCGGTCAGCAGGGAGCTAGCTGGGAAGTGGAGCAGCCAGGACGTGCACCGGCGCCCAAGTATGAATCCAGCACATACAGGTAGAGGATTAGGTCGCAGAGCCATCTTACCGGGCCCCAAATCAGTTTAACTTTTTATACATTTTAATCTCTTCTCTGATTTGCTTATCGACTCTTCCTCCTTTAATTTGTTTATTGAGTAGTTATCTATATTTTCTGATCACACATTTATTATCTCATAAAATGGTTGCATGTCTGGTTCTGCCACAGTAGCCTAGTGGCTAAAGTCCTCACCTTGCATGCGCCAGGATCCCATATGGGCGCCAGTTCGTATCCTGGCTGCTCCACTTCCCATCCAGCTCCCTGCTTGTAGCCTGGGAAAGCAGTCGAGGGCAGCCCAAAGCCTTGGGACCCTGCACCTGCATGGGAGACCTGGAAGAGGCTCCTGGCTCCTGGCTTCAGATTGGTTCAACTCCAGCTGTTTTGGCCACTTGGTGAGTGAACCAGTGCATAGAAGATCCTCCTCTCTCCTCTCTGAAAATCTAACTTTCCAATAAAAATAAAAATAAATCTTTAAAAAAATGATTACATGTCTAAATATGAAAAATTGCCATTATATTTTCATTAATTTTCCTATTGGGATTTTTCCCCTCCCCTCCCAAGTATTTTGAAGCAATAAAATTGCTTTCTAATCAATAAAATTTTCTTTTTTTGTAATTACTTTAGTTGATTAGGGCTCAGAGGATCAAGGGCTACAGGAAAGTGGCTAAGACCATTGTTTCCACATTATTTTTTTTTCTGTGTCTGGGGTAAGGCGGGGATAAAGGGAGAAGCCCCACCCAGCCTCCCACCCGTCCCTGGTCACCGACGTGGGGCATGCTCCGAAGGCACTGCTCAAGTGGTTTTGATGAACAGTTCTGAATTCCTGCCAATCTCACCATCCCAAGCACGATGAAATCTCTTCAGAATCCACTGGCTGACACAGTCCACCTAAGACTCTGCCCAGATTTTCACTGTAACACATAGCTGGGCTAGATGATCGGTTTGTTCTGTCCTCTGTTGTGGTACCAGCTGTCCTCTGCAGGTTCTGATGGATTGCCATATCCTCCCTGTGCACCTGGGTATGCTGTCTACTGCTCCATCTGAGCCTCTGAGGAGGCTCAGCTTTGGCACTTGCACTGCATGGTCAGACCAAAGAACCTGCAGTTCTCTTCATGGTTGGGGTTCTGAGATCAGCGCTTCAGTTGGAGGGATCCCCAAGGAAACTTAGTCCTCAGTAAATTTCCTAACCTTCAAACAAGATGCTATTGTAAAAACAGAAGAGACTGCATAGGAAAGGCCTGACCCTCCAGCTGCTGCCCGTTTCCCTCCCGAGTGCTCTGTCCCTCACACCGCAGCTGCTGGCCCGGCAGGGGCCTGAGGACATGGAAGATGCTCTGCGGGAGCCCCCCTTCCCGGGAGCCCCCCTTCCTGGGGGACTTCGGCACATTACCTGCTTCCCCTTGGTTGCTTTCTTCTTGTCAAGTTATATTTTTTTACTGCTGTGGACGTTACACTCTATTAAGTAACATTTTCTCATTGTTAATGACAGTCCTTGTACAACTTGCGAAGGTTGACATATTTCTTTTATTATGTTCCCCCGGATGAGAGAGAAGCAGGTCTGTAACAGGAGAGATTGGTGTTTCTAATTAGATATTCATGTTTCCTACACTTTTTGGAATAAACAGTAATTTCAATTTAATGTATTAGTTAATAAGTTAATATGTTTATTATGTTTCCTTGTCTTTTGTAGCAAGGAAGAACTGTCGTATCTGAGTTTTATTGAAGATATAACAGATGAAATTTTGAAACTTGGTTTATTTTCAGACAGGTTAGTTGATTGATTTCTTAAGACTTAGTTGTAGATTTATTTGAAAGTTACGGTGACAGAAGTCGGGGGAGGAGCAGAGAGATTTAGAATCATCCATTCCCTGTTTACTCCCCAGATGCCTGTAAAAGCTCTGCTTCAGTTCCAGCTCCCTGCTAATGCGCACGGTGAGGTCATGGCCCCAGTGTTTGGTTCCTGCAACCCACTTGGGAGGCCAGGAGTTCCAGACTCCTGGGGTTGGCCTGGCCCAGGCTCACGGTCTCTGCACAGTGAACCAGCAGCTGGGAGAGCTCGCTCTCACTCTGTCTGCACCTGCACATGCATCTGCCTTGAAAATAGTTTTAAAAGCCATGTTATTGACAGAAACATGGGTAGCATCTCATCTCAGACACACGAGCACCTGTTCTGTCACCTGAAAGCAGATGCAAGGCAGAAGCCGTACTGGCTGCCACGACGGAGAACTTGACAGATGGGGAAGGAGAGGCGTCTTCTGCTTGAGAAAGGAAAAATTATTCTAAAAAGTATTTTCAGGTTTTAGTAATTTTAGTATTATACAGCTATTATGTATTTAGTTGGTTTTCTGACTTTTAGACATTAACATTTTTCTGTGTCATTTGTAGGTTTTTAGAACAACTGTTTGAGCAACACATAACACAGAATAAACATCATCTGGAAGAGGTTTGTCTTTCTTTGGAATTTCACTAGAAATATTTAAATATGGAAATTTTAAAGCTATTCTGTATCAAAGAGCCCATTAAAAGCAAGCAGTTTTCTTTAAGCTTTTTGAGGGAGTAGGGGAAGAAAGTCAGCTATCAGTCCTGCTGAGGTTTTCAGCACAGACCAAAGTAATTCACTTTAACTAGCTGGATTCATATGACCGTGTTTTTCTTGATCCAAGGAAAAAATGCGTCAGCTGCTGCATGGCTTGAAGGCCGACTTAGGCTGCACCCCCAAAGAGGATCCACTAAAGCAGAATGAGGCCAGTGTGTTGAATCTGCTGGACTTCGAAAAGGCTCTGAGTTCTACACAAAATGGAGTTAAAAGTGAAAGTGGAGTCATGATTGAACAGGAGCGTCATGAATACCAAACGGCTTTGAACATGTTACTGTCTGCTCCGAAGGAGGAAGCCGCTCAGACATTCTCCCCACCTGAATTTTTTATGCCCATTCATAAATCAAAGTGTTCACCAGGGGTTATTATTCAGCAGGTGAATAAAGAAAAAGATCCTGAGCGTTCAGCCAGTGATGACAATGTAAGTGCTTCAGACAGCTTAACAGACCAAGAAACCTCTGTGAATGTCATTGAAGATGACAGTGACACCGACAAGCTTGACACTTTCGAAGACTTTAGCTGCCTTAGCACATCACTCTCGGAGTCTGTTCGCTTCTCCAGTGTCCGAGGTGACAGTAATCAGGACAAGGAATCACCAACTTCTAAGATCATGGATATGAGCATCGAGGACTGTCCTTCAGATGCTTGATCTTCTGAATAAATATACCAAATGACCAGTAACCCAGTACTACGACTACTTTTTTTTTCTTATGTATTAAGATTTCTGTGTTACAGATCTGCAACACATATAAACCATAAATTTAGCAAATTAAGGTGCTGTTATGTACTGCACTGTTTCTCTGGATCAGGAGTCTTAAGCATGGCATAGCTGAGTCTTGATCAAGGCTGTGGTCTTAGCAGAAGGCTTGAGTGGGTGAAAGAGCCTCCAGGTCCTTCACATTGTTGGTGGAGTTCACCTTGCAGCTCCAGATGCGAGGACTTCGTTCCGTTGCTCAGCAGTGGCTGGAGAGTGCCCTCAGTCCTCTGACACTTGTCTCTGCTCACAACACTACTGCTTCGCCAAGGCTACCAAGGGAACCAGAGACACTGCTGGTAAGATAGTCTCATACAGCTTAAGAACGGGAGCCTTTCCATCGTCGTCATGTTCTTTTGGTTAGTAGGAAGTCTGGGTTTGACCCACTTTAAGGGGTGTAGATGTTACACAATGACTCAGCTAAGCTGCTGTTCAGAGATGCCATCAGTCTCAGCCCCAGGGTCCCCCATTCAGTCCCACTCTCCAGGCTCGAATTTCCCTCCTTTGGCTGAAGCTTCCGTCTTGCCGTCATCCTCCACCCTTTGAAGCTTCATACCTACTTCTACCTGACTTCTTTGCCGTACCCAGTCTTTTCTGTGCTCCAACTCTGCATAGCTTCATGTCTCTAGGCTCATGGCCCATCCCAACTTTCATACATGATTAAAAGTGATTTTTGGCCGTTGCCAGGTAGGTTATAAAAAACTCTAAGAAACAATGGCTTAGGCTCACCAGCAGTATCTTTTTTTAACTTACTTTTTCATCTTATCTAAAAGGCAAACAGCTCCCATCTGCTGCCTTACTCCCCAGATGTCTGCAAGAGTGAAGGCTGAGCCAGCACAAAGCTGGGCATCTCCTGCCTGTGCCCCGGGAAGCGGTGGCAGGAATCGATGCGACTCGGAGAGGGCAGGGCTGTGAACCAGGCACTGCAGAATGGGAGGTAAGCCCCCAAGCCAGCAGCAGATGCTGCACTAAACATTTAGCCTCGTTTCAGCATCTTGTTTTAACTGTTTCCTATAAATTTTTTGCTTTAATAATGTTTGAACATTTTGCCACATTCACTCCAGAATCTTTTATATCTTTTTCTCTACTTTCAAACAGCTCAAGAGTAACGAGTAAGCGTGCCTTTCGAGCAAGATTGCCTGAATTTTTGTTTTTAAGATTTATTTATTTGAAAGGCAAAGTGACCAAGAAAAAGATGTTCCACACACGGATTCACTCCGCACATGACTGCAGTGTCCAGGGCTGGAACAGGTCAAAGCCAAGAGCCAGGGACTCCATCTGAGTCTCCCACATGGGGCTCAGGGACCCACAAACTTGGAACAAAAGCTTTTTTTTGCTACAATTTAAAAATCCCCTACTAATGCAGTTCAAATTGCAGGGCTACTAGACTGAAAACATGCTGTTTGTTGTGTACTGCTTGTTACAGGCCCTGCAGACTCCAAGCCAAGGGATTTTACTGATAACATCACAGCTGTTTAATGGAAGTTAAGGGATAATGATAAAACATTCATTAGCTAATAATTTCCAGAGATATGAAATATTCTGGCAGCCAAAAGTCAAAAGTTCAGTGAATCCTCTTATGCAGTTATATTCACATTATTAAAGCATAAATTCAAAATCTGTGGTGACTGTTCCCTTTTCCCTTCAAGATTAATTTTTTCAATTTACCCGATTTTTTGAAATATAATTGTTATTTCAGATTACAAACGTTAAAATCTTTAACATTTCTGGAAGTGACATGGGCAGGCAGGCAATCTTACATGCATGTGACCTAACAGTGTGCTTTCACACATCTGCCTTGGAGCTGCTCCCCCTTAGAGTCTTGCTGGCTGTTTCTTTTTCCCAGTGACATGACTGGGGGTGGCCAGGACACGGAGGTGGCAATAGGAGAGGTGGGACTCACCAGTTAGCCTTCCCTCATGTCTGGCCCGCCTCACAGCTGGGTTCACAGCAGCCCCACGTCCTCCATTAAGCCACATTCTCCTCCCTTGTAACTCTCAAGTTTCCGCAGCTGTGGAACTTCCCACAAAATACTGGCCAGGCTGCCTTCCGCAGCTCCTGAGTCTCAGCTGCTGCCTGCAGAAGCAGGGAGTGCATCCTCTCCTCTCCACCAGGGGCAGTAGGGAGAGAAGCAGCCTGAAGCTTCCGGAAGCAAGCATTATGAGGACAAGTTAGGAAAGTTCACAAGCGCTTGGAGCATTGTTTACAAAGGCAAGTGTCATACAGTTCAACATAGAGATCCACTCTAATGGCTGGCATTTGATCTGGAACTGTACACAGCTTGTTAAGTCCTTGCAACACCAGTGTCCCTTATTGGACGTGCACTTGGCGCTGGTCCTGGCTCCTTGTCCATGTGCCTGGGAAAGCAGCAGGTCACAGAACTCAGGCTCTCCACCCAGTGTGGAAGACGGAGTGTTCCAGTCTCCTGGCTCTGGCCTTTTTCTAGCCATTAAAAGGGCTAGGAGAGAAAGTTTCAGATTTGTTTAAAAGGCAGAGAAACAGAACCATCCGTTTACCACTTTACTCCGCAAATGCGTGAAACAAGCCAGGGCTGGGCCAGGACGGATCTAGGAGTCCAAAACGCAATCCAGGTCTCACATGTAGGCAGGCCAGCGGCCAGCTGCGGGGGCCATCACTTAGTGCCTCCCAGCTCTGAGTCAGCAAGAAACTGGACTCGCTGTATCCCAACCTCTGCGTTCAAATGGCCCCTCAGTGTGAGGCTTCTAAGCTGCCACAGTCACGTGAGTCAATTCTCTAGTTTTCATATAAAAAAAAAATTATAAAAATTACAGTAATTCCTGCTTCGATTTGTACAAATCTAAAATAAACCTGTTCTTATAAACAGTTGCATTTTATATACATTTAAAGTTGTTTAACACTATGAACATTGCCATGTCAGCTGAGAGTGTCCGAGGTTGAGCTTCTTCGTTCATTCTGGCACAGGGTTTGAAGGACTAAATTCTAGGGCTTTCTGAATGCTTCACAGTACATGTTCCAGAAGAGACAACTGCAGTTAACAGTCCAACAGCGTTCCAAAATAAGCACCTGCTCCACTCAACACTGTCAACGCACATCTCATCCAAAAGACCCCACTTATCAATAGAACACACTACTGTGTAAGCTACTTTTGTAAAAAAAAAAAAAATCATTTTGATAACTTTGCTATGAAGTTAAGGAATACGATTCATGAGGTGCACAGCACTGTGTGGCAGACAGTAACGCTTTCCGCTCAGACATAGGAAACCAGGTTCAGCAAGAGAAACTTTTATTCACAAATCCTTTCATAGTGACTAATTGCAATGAAAGAATTCAGGCCTTAGAAGCGATGTCAAACAAGCAACATTTTAAGGGTTACAGATTTAAACAGGATAATTCGTCCTCTTAAGTTCACTTATCAAATTATAACAGGAACACAAATACACCATATATTACTCTTTCATTAGATTTTTGTTTTACAATGTTCTTACTGCGACACTTCAGAAGGTTCAAACTCCGCAGGATTTGTGAAGAACGTACCGCTGAAAGAAAACGCTTTGGAAACATTCCTATCCTGTAGGCGGTGTGGAGAAGGAAAATGTCACCATTAGAAACTCTTCGTGCCCTCTGGGGAACACTTTCCTTCTTTGCTATCAGTATTTTGTTCCTAAGTGGGAAGTGTGCCCATTTTCATGACTGCTTTCTGAATTTTATTTAGATTGTTGGGTTCTGAAGTAGAAAATTGTGTGTCATAGCTGATAATGCACATTTAGCACTCCCAAAAGTGAGGTAAACTGCTTTCAAAGTGACATGGAAATCAAAATAATGACTAGAATGTTGTATTCAGGGAAGCAGCCCTAGATACAACATTTTAGAAGCTCTGCGTTTATACGAAATAACCTCCTAGGAAGGAAAAAGAAGACAGATGTTGGGCAGAATGTACCAGTCTGTCCCTCCTGTTCATCAAGAACCATGAACAGGGCCATGCCAGCCTGGCCAAGGCCTCACCCCTCAGCTCAGCCTGGCTTGGTCCTCAGGGCTAGGCCATACAGGAGAGGGAGCGGGGATACTGAGCAGCCATGAGCACCCCAGAACTGAAATGAGGGGTTTAAGAATTAAAATCCAAGTGCCTTTTATGTACCACATTAATTTCTTGAGACTGACAAGTTTTGCTTTGTTTTGTTTTGAAGGGGGGATTGTGGTTTTGGGACAAGAGATGAATTTATTCCTTTTTTTTTTTTTTTAAGTCAAGATTATGTGAAGCTTCCTCAAGGTTTCTTGTAATAATGTAAACCTAAATTTAGTCACAAACAGAAGAGTACAGTCAGGCGGAAGCACTCTAAAGGACAGGCCCTGAAGGCCCTGGCACAGCTCCGTGGGTCAGCCTGCTGGCCGTCCCCGTCACAGAGCCGGCTAACACTGTACTGGCGTCCTGGTCAGCGCTCCACTTCCTCTGCTCCTCCTCATCTCACATGCTTTCTCCTCTTGCGAATACTTCTGAAACCACATCCATTGTCACTGTCTCGTCTACAAAAGCAACACATACAGGAAAACCCCCATTTTTTTGTTTTTAACAAAGTGCTTAATGCCATCGTATCCAGTTGTTCTTTACTTCATTTGCAATCGGTAAAATCAAACTCCTTTAGGTTTACAATACTGAAATATAAGGAACCTGATTATTCACATTTTTAAAATAATGCGCCTTCATTTCCAATTTTCCGTTACATTTGACTCATTTCAGTCTTAATGAGTTGAGCTCTTGTTCTGGAAAATATAGAAGTTACAAATATATATAAGTTTTAGGATAAAAAATTTTCTAAATATAAAAATGCTTTCTGTGTTTCAAAATAACACTTTTGAGAATTTGTTTATAGTTTTGGGTTTGGTAACTAAACCAGAAGGAACCCACAGCTTAAAAAAGATAACACAGTTTTAAATACAAAGATATTACAGGAACCACTCATATCTACAGATCATCACCACAGAAAATTCAACTTCTAAGAAAACTGCTAAATATTTTAATCATAAAATAGAACTCCATTTTCAAAACCTAGTTAAGGATAAAGATCTATGCACTTTAGTGATTGCCAGAATTGCCCAGCATAGCTTCAGTAAAATAGAGAACTGTCTAGAAAATTCAATCTCCAAAAGTGTGTGCAAGTACTGCAAATCCCACAGCCCGCAGCAGGGCAGTGCCCTCAAGCCAGTCCTCCTAGGCACCACTCCCCGACTCGACCCGTGCCACCACGCCTGTGCACCACCAGGCCCGGGGATTGCCATGTGCTTCAGGTGTTGAGGAGAAAGGATGAGTTAGGCAAGCACTTTTGTCTTTTAAAAGCTGTAAACGCTCCATGTGACTGGGTCCCTGTGGAAGCTGTGGGAGCTTAGATGAGCCTGGAGCTTTTCAGGAACTGAATGAGAACTCTGTAGACAAAGGTGTACTGGCAGAGGGTCTGCACCAGCATCATCCGCTGTTGCCGCAGCATGTCCAGGACTCGGGGGATGTCCAGCACCTAGGAGAGAGACCATGATGAAGGTGGCATGCTCCCCTGCTCAGGCGGTGCACGGCCCTTCTCTGCCTGAGCCTCTGCTGTGCAAATTAATAACCGGTGAGAACCTCATTCGTGCGGACTACACAGACCATCCATGTGAATTTTCTCAACGTTCCCCAAGTGAAGCTCACTGATTTCCTTTGGCTGTAAATACCAAGATTCAGCAGAAGCAGTGTGCTCATGGCTCTCAGTGCCTGCTCAGCATTTCCTGCACAGAGCTCTGGCTGGCACTAACTGACAAGCCAACAGGTGTTCCAAGAAATGAGAGTTCTAACCACAAATTCAGAAGTTAACGAATCAGAAAATATTAAACAGCCTGGTATTTCTTACGACTATTCTGTCTCCTATGCTCACAAATACTGCACTCTCCAGGAAAACAGCCTTTTGCACACAACACTGAATATCCGGAGATTTCCACAGTCCCGGGAGATGTGTTCTCCTGAGCCAGCGGGCAGTGGGCACTTGGGAGGCCACTATGTCACCATGTCACACAGCGTGCTGTGTTAGACTACACTTCTGATCCTGACTTCCTGCCAAGACGTACCCTTGGAACACAACAGGTAACCACCCAAGGAGTTGGGTTCCTGTCACCCGTCCAGAAGACCTGGACCGAGTTCCCTGCTCTAACTTTGGGCTGGCCGAACCCCAGCCACTGCAAACATACAGAAGCTCTAAGGTCTGTCTCTGTCCCGCTCTACTTTTCAAATTATTTTATGTTGAAGATTTCCTTTATTTGAAAGGCATCACCTCATTGTGTTCCAGACAAGCGATCATGATCTCTGACAGAATGACAACGCCAGTCCTTCCCACGCCGGCACTGCAGTGGACCAGCAAGGGAGGGCTGGGGCTTCTGGGTTCGCTTGTGCTGTTCGTATGGCGTCGAACAGACTGGATCTCTTCAAGATACGCTGTGGAAAAAAAAATCAAAGAAATAAAGCACTCAGTTTTCCCATCTCCATGGGTTGAGAAGGCTGCAGATAAAGAGGCCTGCGCACCTATGACCAGTCCCAGGGGCTGTGTACGGATGTGGGCACGTTAGCACCTCCACCTGGGCCTCCGCACGCCCACCTGCCAGATGAGGGGGAGCACTGCCCAGGGGGGAGGCAGTGCTGAGAGTCAGGGCTGGCATTCTGCAGCCTCCTACTTTGAACAGCTAAATGATTTTGAAAAGCCTAAAGTTTATGCAGCAACACAAAGATGCGAGTCTAACGGCTCTGCAGGAGGTCATCTAGGAACCAGAACACTTACACAGAAAGCCCTTGAGGTCCTCTGGACAGCCATGCTCAGGCCAGTCTGTATACTGCAGATGCCACACTGTCCTCTCCTGCCCCGTGAGCAGATGCTTCATCTTGAGGCCGGTGGTGGCATAGCAGCCGGAGTCTGTGCGGAACCGCGTGGTGATCTTAAACCTCCCATAGGTGACAGTGTTGTGCCTGGAGCCCAGTCGGGGCCAATACCGGAAGCTCTTCTCCCTGCCACCTTCCTGTTAGAAGATGAGAAGGTTGACCACCACCACACAGGACCTTCTCCCAGAGCCATCTCCTGCAAAGGCCAGGGTCCTACACAGGAAACATGGACTGTCTCGGGGCTGAGACGTCAACACATGGAATCGAGTACTCACCTCCTCTGCCGTCACCATTGCTATAATGGCAACACCCTGTTCCCATACCATCTGCCAGAAATCCTGGCAGGTATTCTGTAATGGTCCCTGTGTGGCAATGTAGTCCCATTCAATTCCACTGACAGAGACCTGAAATTAGAAAAGATTAAAAAAGTTAACTTGTATGTGCATGTAATACATGAATGTATTTGTGTATATGTTTATAGTAATACTAAAAAAGCAAACTGATTATTCAGAATTCACAAAGGTTTATATCTCAATCTTTTCTCTTGAATTAATATAACACGACCTGAGATCATCTGGTTAATGTCTTGGAATCTCAGTTCTCACCTATAAAAACCAAAGTATTGAGACAGGCCTGTGGTCTAGGGACTAAGGCACTCAGGTACCACACTGCAGTTCTCTGGGTTTGATAACTGGCTTTATTCCCACCCCTGACTCCAGCTTTCTGCTGACACATTGTACAGACCCTCGTGGCAGCAGTACCAGCCCCTGTGTGGGAGGGATGGATTGAGTTCCTGGCCGCCGCTAGCTGCCAGCCTTGGCCTTGGCCCAGCACCAGCTGCTGCGTGGGGCCTTAGAGCGAACCAGTAGAAGGGGAGCTTGTTTACGACACTCCGCATCTCAAATAACAAATCTTAAAACAGCTGAAATTTTAAAAAAATAAAAGTATTGCCTACTTTCCTAGGCCTGTTGTTACAACTGAGTCAATTATGCTTGGCACTGCTATTATGATTCCTCTTACCAAAGTTCTCTCGGTGGCTGGCACTGTGGATAGCAGAAGCTGCCACCTGCAATGCCAGCATCCCATCTGGTGCCACTTGGAGTCCCGGCTACTCTACTTCCGATCACGCCCACTGCTAATGGGCCTGGGAGTACAGAAGATGGCCTGAGACCTTGGACCCCTGCCAGTCATGCGGGAGACCCAGAAGGATTCTGGCTCCTGGCTTCAGGAGCCCCGAAGGATTCCTGGCCCTGGAAGTTGGGATCATTTGAGGAATGAGGAACCAGCGAAAGGAAGGTTGAACTCAGTCTATACTCTTCTCTCTGTAAACTCTGCCTTTCAAACAAATAAAAGAATACCAACATGTTAGTATCCCAGATTCATTTATTTTTATTTGAGATTTTTACAGAGAGGTCCTCTACTGCTTGCTCCCTTCCCAAATGAGCACAGCAGCCAGAGCTGAGCCGTTCCAAAGCCAGGAGCCAGGAGTTCCCTCTGAGTCTTCCACACGGCTTGAGACATCCTCCTCTGCTTTCCTAAGTCCTAAGCAGGGAGCTGAATTAGAAAGGGAGCGGCCAGGACACGGACCGGCCACTCATGGGATGCTGGTGCCGCAGGTGGACGATGAGCTTACTCTGCCACTACACCAGCAGTACCCCACATTTCAAATACATGTCCGCTTCCTGAAGCATGCTGGCAATGAATTCAAAGCTTGAAAACGTCAGATTTCCAGGGAAATTTTTCTTATTGTAAACTCACTTCTGAAATTCTAGATCAAGAGAACTCTCCCTAACATTACTGAAGTTCTCCAGTTAAGACTTAACCTCTTGATCCTGGCCAGTACAGTAATTACCAGGTGTGCAGTCAGAACTGGGTCTAATCACAACTCCACCAATATTTGGTGAGAGTAACAACTGCCCTCTGAACGCCTACTTAGTATATTCCACTGTGCCACGCCCTGTTCCACCCACACTCTCACCTAAGGCTGCCAGAGCCTCTCCCACCTCTGCCCTACCTCTTCTCACTGAGGGAAGCCTACAGGATCGGGCTCATCACTTCTTCATTTGGAGGTGAGAGGCAGTGATGGGTGAGTGGTCCACCCGGGACACAGCCCCAGCTCTCACACTGTATACCGCTGAAGACTGAAGCAGCTGTGCAAACACTTTATCGGTTCTTAACCAATCAAAAAAGGCTCGGTGAGTTAATCCAAAGAAATGCTTAATTTGTAAATATATTGTGACCTGGCTGACACAACAGAATACCGCAGGTAAAGATTCCCCAGTGTATGGCAATCCTGGCCTGCGGGTCTGCGGAAAGCCTTGGGTGCCATCAAATGTTGACTTCAGAACAGGGGCGAGAACTACAACACTTGGCCATACATACTCATCCACCTGCTATCCAGACATCTCTCCAGTCCCAGATAAAGAATCTACCAGTGTGACCCGAGGGGGGGACACTGACTCTGCTGTGAATCATCACTTCGCATTTGGATGTGAGTTAAATGCAGGGAGAAGGGATGCCACCTTTTATAAGTAAAATTTTCTAAGCACCATCAAAAAGCCAGACATGAGTGACATAAAAGTACACTCAGTTTAAGCATAAGGTGAAAACAACATCTTATAGCGCCTAAAAAAAAATGCACAAGCTAGGAAGAACATACAAATTTAAAAGGAAAATGTTCTGAAGCCAGAAAAATCAATGTGTCCCGAGTGCTGGGCACAGTGGTCTCCCACATGCAGAAAACACACGCGACTTTGCCTTTTCATCTAGCAGTAGCAGCTGCATTTCCTAGCTTGTAATATCGTAGTTACAATGGCTCAAATCAGGGTGTCTGTAGAGTACAAAGACGTGAACACATTCTTGTGCTGCATCCAAACCATATATGCCGTTTACCGCCCTGGACATTCCTCTCACCTTAATATGAGACGCGTTGATATAGCCGGTATTGTTCTCTTTAGTTGGGACTAACTCCACTCGTGCATCATCATAGGGAAGGACATCTTGGAATCGATTTCTTTCTGCGTTTTCAGGGAGACGTGCCGTGGCGCACTCCCCATCAACTAGCCGTTTTTTAAGAATTCTCTCGTACTCTGTGAACACCATCCCCTGTTCTAACCGCTGCTCCAGGATTCTACACTGGAAAACAGAACGTGTGGAGTTACACGAATGCCTTCTCACGTCACAGCATCCCTGAAACGTCCTGTCCTATACTGCAAGCCTGCAACATCCAATATTGAAAAAATTCTAGATGTAACCAAAATTTAAATTTTCCACAAATGCAACAGTTTATGGGGGCCTGGAGGTGAAGCTAAATGTAATCACATGCTCATTGTAAGCTTTTATTGTTAAAAAAATAAAACAAAAAACCCATCAGATTCTGTTAACAGCTCTCGTCAGGAAAAGCTGGCTCCAGCACTTTCTGAAAGTGACTCAAAATGCCCCCAGTGTGATGCTGTCTGAAGCCTTGGTGAGGAAGATTGCAAAACTGTCTGAAGCTGAAAATTGGCCTCAAATAATTTGCTGAATTTGTTTTCTTTAATCTTTGGTCCGTTTTATGACCTCTATAAAAAAGAATTCTGGAGAATAGTAAGTCCTACACCAAGAATATCATCGATAAGCAAATGCTTAAATTTTATAACAGGTGACATATAAGACATTAAAAGCAGTCAATATAGGAAACTCCAGGATTCAGTTTTCAGTAGATTCAAGCCTGTCTCACTTCTATACAATCAAATCTATACAAAGTATATCTCAGTAATATTTTTCTAACTAGTTTAATAACTGTTTCCTCTCAAGATAAATTTTCAGTGTGATAAAAGCATTCATCATCTGATTTCTTTTTTTATACACTCATACAGATTTCTTCTCAAGGCCACCAGAAGGTAAGACCACCCCAAACAGCTGCAGGCAGTTAAGCACCCAGAACTAAAGCCATCTAGTGACATTAGCCAGAGAGCTGCCCCAACCGTGAGGCATAATTCCTTAATATTTCTTATGGCTATTAAATTATGCTGCAAAATTCCCTAAAGTCCCATGAGAGAATTGGGTGGTACTTGCCAACCGTCCCGGAGGAGGCCAGGACCCAGCCCGTACGTACCCGTTCGTCATTTGTGGCCCGGGAAGGCATCTGGTCCCCTTCATCAGGCAGAGGCAGGCGCGAGAGGGAGAGTCCATTCAGGGCTGCCAGTTTAAGAGGACCAATTTTTTTTGCATCACCTCGAGTCTTTTTCATTCCCTGTAAAAATATGTGTGTATCTGAAATAATTCAGAAATGCAGTCCCTTCAGAAAGCAAGTCCCCTGGGTGGAAGACCAGAAACAAAGGGAGTATTCTCCTTCGGCAGGCCCCAGCAGACTCCCTCCTTCACACATCGTTTGTTTCACAAATATTAGGAGGACTGCATTCCTTTCAAGGCCAAAGCCTTGATAAGTCTTCCAGATAGAAAGTCTCGAAACTCAATTGGTTACAAGGCTCTGTTGCAATGAAAAGTGAGGCTCCAGGCAGACAGCATTCCTCCACAGAACCAAACCCCAAAGCAGGACACAAAAAGACTAGCAGTGGTCCACCAGAAAAAAAAGGGGGGGGGGGGCGGGTCAGTTAAATGCAATCACTTGATTATTGTAAGCTTTCATCATCATCATAAAAAAAAAGTCTGATACTAGCTCTCACAGAGATTAGCTGGTCTGGCACTTCCTTGCCTAAACATGACTCCGAGTGCCCCACGGTGCAGGGATGGTGGCAGCCAGCACGTGGAGGGAGCTGCACATAGTCCAACCTGAGCTAGTGCATAGGGCCCTTGGACAAGGGCTGCCAGGGCTTTACGTGACAACTGTCAGGCAAGGCAGGAAAGCAGGGGGGAGTATTTCTGTGGGTGGATGAGTGCTGAGCCAGGTCCCTGGGGATGCGGGTGGGTGGGACGTTATAAAGCGTGCCATCCTGAGCCCGGCACAGTAGCCTAGCGACTACAATCCTCACCTTGAATGCGCCAGGATCCCATAGGGGCGCCAGTTCTAATTCTAGCCACCCCACTTCCCATCCAGCTCCCTGCCTGTGGCCTGGGAAAGCAGTCGAGGACAACCCAAAGCCTTAGGACTCTGTACACATGTGGGAGACCTGGAAGAGGCTCCAGGTTCCTGGCTTCCAATTGGCTCAGCTTCATACATTGCGGCCATTTGGGGAGTGAATCAGTGGACAGATCTTTCTGTCTCTCCTCCTATCTGTATATCTGCCTTTCCAATAAGAAATAATTAAATCTTTAAAAATAAAAAAGTAAAAAGATAAAATGCTTCTTCCTGTCTCAACTTATGTCACTGTTTCTAATTCTGAATAGCTTTAATTCACATTAGTATTTTTCTTTAATTGTAACAGTGAAATAAAGATAAGGACACCCTTCTATTACAATCCAGAGACACACTGGGCCTGGCCACTTCAACGCCTCAAAAGTATGCTGTGACCTTGGCCAAGCACTGTCCATTTCACAGTGCCATTTCATTCTCTCTGGAGTCATCTCCTTTACAAATAAAATGAAGTCACAGAGAAATTAAACAGCCTGCCTGAGTCACGTGACAGCTGCTCTGAGTCACGTGACAGCTACTCTGCGGGTGCCTCGTGCCAAGGGCACGGTCCTTCAGTGAAGTGTGATGCTGAGCTCAGCACCTAGCAGGCACTTCCCCGTGCCTGACCTTGACTGGGACTCCACGCCACGAGGAAGGAGGAACAGGGAGAGTGTCCCTGTGTCACAAACATGGAACTCAGCACGTGGCCTTGCTGCCCTGGACCACTCTAAGGTGGATCCCTTCAGCAGAATCCACTTGTTAAGACCATCGGTACTGAAGCCGGTGAGATGAAAATCAAAATTAATCAGAATTCTCGTGTTTAGCTGAAACAGCCAAGCCCCACTCAGAACATCCAGCAATAACACGAGCTTGAGCAGCAGGCTGTACTTGTACAAAGGTCGCTTCGGGAAGGTAGACCGCGTGTACTATCGCACAATTCTGTCGCTGGCTCAGTTCCTCCTGCTGAGAAATGGGGAAGCCTGTCCGCCCCGAGTCCTCTGGGGCTCATCAGCTGGCACCCTCAACCTCGGCCCGCCTGGCACACTGGACTGTACCATCACATGGATCAGGAAGAAAAATACATCAAAATCTTTGGCCACTCTGTAAGCGGTTTCTATGAATGCTAGTGTTGTTTCCTAAGCACCAGAGTGTTGTGTTGGGCTTTTTCTTGTCCATCCAGGTAGGCATCAGGCAGAGATGAGGCCAACAGGCCAGGCTGCCAGGATGTTGGAAGCCACAGCCTGGTGCACCTGCAGACACTGGGATGGGGGTGCAGGCCACGAGGAGCCAGCACCACAGAGTGAATCCACTTCCTGCCAGGGCGGACGCCACCCAGCTCTGTCCTTGGGAAATCAATTATAGGATGGATGCCAACTGCACACAACACCTGAGCAAACCCAACAAGGACGGTACTGGGGTACTTGCAGTGGGTGGCTAGCACGGAAATCTTGGCTAAAATTAAGACATTTTAACTCTCTTTTCCTTAACACATCACCAAAACCAGCTCCCTCTCACCCCCTCCAATCCACGGATACCCTTTCACCGCATCTACTTCGTGGACTCCAGCAAAACCAACGGGGCTCTAAGCGTTTCTACAATTCAGATCTGTTCAAGACACAGAATGACATAAGGAGGCAAACAAAAAGGGGAGGGGCATATCTAATGACGTAACCAACAGGCCCTGGGACTCCCACATTCCATCATGTCCCACCTTCACTTCCCTTTCAGCCCAGCTGACGTGCACGCTGGGAAACAGCAGGTGGTGGCTCATGTAGGACACCCAGGTGGGGTTCTAGGCAACCCCAGAGGTCACAGGCCTTGGCAGTGACCCAGGGAATGGAAGCTCGCAGCCTGCTCCGCTATGGTTCTTTGCCTTTCAAATAAGCAAATATAAAGAGGAGCTGGCATTGTGCCACAGAGTTAGGCTACGACTTAGAAGTGCTGGTATCCCACTTGGGTGCTAATTCAAACCCTAGTTACTCCACTTCCCATCCAGCTCCCTGCTCATGTGTCTGGGAAGGAGCAGAAGATGGACCCGAGCCCTCGGCCCCTGCCACCCACGTGGAAGAACGGGAAGAAGATCCTGGCTCTTAGCTTCGGCCTGTCCCAGCCCTGTTTCTTACGGCCATTTTGGGAGTCAAACAGCGGGTGGAAGATCTTTCTGTGTCTCTCCTTCCTTTGTAACTCTGCCTTTCAAATAGATAAATAAACATTTAGATAAATATTAAACAGACAAAGTCTGAGAACAAGCAGACAGGCCATTTTCCCCGGGGTCCGAGGGGCATCCGCTCACTGCCCAGCTTACCCCCAGTGGTGGGAGGCCCTCCACGACATTCTTTTTCCCAGACAGGAGGTCCGACACTGGCCTCTTCTTGAGCGAGTCCCTCCGGGCGCGGTATCTACCCGACGTGGTGAGGTCGGACTCCGACATGGAGGATGTGAGCAAGCTGTCCCTCCTGAGCCGCTGGGTATCAGCTGTCCTGGAGATGGGGCTCGTGTCCCCCACCCTTGGCTCTGTCTCTGGGACATGGGGCTTAGGCTCCAGGATGTGCAGAGGGCCGCCAAGGGGGCCTGCCGGGGCACACAGACAGCTCCGTGGTGGCTCCTGGGAGTAGCCGCCCTGTTGCCGGGGCCCCTGCACACCTGCAGGGAGGCCAGCCTGGGCCTTGCTTAGTTCCTCAGGGTCCTCCTCCTCCTCACTGCTATGTACCAGCATGGTGGCATCCGAGAGAGACTTGTGATGGCCGTACCTCAAGCCCTCGGGCTCCTCTTGCTTCGTGCTCGCAGTGAGGATGCTGGGCTGGGAGGCCACGGGCCGCGGGGCCACATCTGCAGCCGAGGCCGACATGGTCCTCTCCTTGAGTCTCAGGCCATCGAAGCCGTGGCTCAGCCCTGCTATCTCAATGCTGTTCCTCTTGTGCAGCTGGGCGTGCCTGGCGGCCGTGAGCGGCTCGCTGACCTCCTGCAGGGAGTGAGCCACAGGCAGGCTGTCCTCCTGGAAGGTCTGCACTGAGTGGTGGACGCGCCTGGTGATGAGGTCCGGGTTGCTGCTGCTGATGTAGAGGTGGCGAGACAGGTCTGGGGTGCTATTGGCAGGCCTGGGGTATGGGTATGGGGGTGGCGGCCGGTACACCTGGGTCCTCATGATGTTTGCAGCCGGGTACTCCTGGGCCTGCAGCTGCACGTTGGTCAGCTCAGGCACACTGACCGCCCCCACCACTGGCCTCCGCTCAGCGGGATAGGGATAGGGAGACTGGCTGTGGAAGCTGTAATTCAGATTGAAGGGGTAGTGGGCCGACTGCGGTGAGGCCAAGTGTGCGTGATCACGGATCTCGGGCTGGCTGTAGACCAGGGCATCGGGCCTGCTGTACGCAGACGAGTTGCCGATGCTGAGGTTTCGCAAGGAGTGGCTCTGTCGGTCCCCGTGCACCAGGCCCCGGTTGAGCTGCTTCATGACAGTCTCATAGTCCGGGGTCGGCCGGTACGAGGGTGGGATCAGGGCGCTGTGGCGATGGGATGGGACATAGTCGGGTCTCAGGACGTCGCTCCCCGTGATGCTGGGGTTGGAGGACATCGGGGAGGGCTGCAGAAAGGACTGAGGGTTATTCAGGGAGTTGGTGCTGTGCGCGCTGTAGACGCTGCCGTTGCGGATGCGGCCATTCAGGTCCATCTGGGCTCTATCCAGACTTGTCTGGGAGTGACAGTAATAGCCGTTCTGGCTGGGTACAAAGAGGTTATCTGGAGGAGAAAAGAATTCTGAAATGTAGTTTAAAATGCCATTTTAGAAAAAGGCATTACATTGGAGCAATTACTGCAGCCAGACACAGAACGGGCCCAGAGCTGAGACGACTCATGGAGCTTCGAAGGTCCTGCCTTCAGCCACCCCAGAGCCCAAGGGGGACTCGGCTTCCTCACGCAGCATTAGCAGATGGTCCTGCCCACTCACAGGGTGCTGCTCAGTACCTAGCTCCCACAGAGACAGGCCAAACTGCAGTCCAGTGTTAAGACCATAACCATATCACGTTTTTTCCAAAAATTCAAACCATGTCTTACTAGAAATATGAAAAAAAAAAAGACCTTCTGGAACTCTGTGAAACTCAGAGCAGACTGCTGAGGACCCCAGACTGCACGTTTGCCTGGGAGGGGAAGGCGCCTTGCGGAGCCCGACCAGCTCCAGCACCACCATCTGTGAACATTCCCTTAACTGGAGTTTTTAGATTGCTAGTGTGGGTCCCTTGAGAATGAAGACAGCTTCCGCTGACAGGGCAAAGGCACAGCAGAGAAGAGCTGTCCCCAGCCCACGCTGTCCCCACAGCCGCATCCCCTAGGGGCACAGGCTAAGACAGCTGCCACTGCCCCTGGGCTTCAGCGAGACGGGCACCCGTGGACCTGACCTTATGACAACCACACAAGGATGCCTGTCCAGGGGCCAACAGTTCCCCGGAAATGCTCATGCTAGCAGGGGTTTCTAACACTTCAAAGAAACTCCACAGTAATCTAGTCCAAAGCAAAAAAAAAAAAAAATTGCTGCAAAAAGCACTTTCTGTGTTTCCAAAGCTCTGCAGAATCTGAACAGCAACTGCTCCTCAGTCCGCCCACGGGCAGTGCGCACGGCGTGTCCTGGCAGGGCACACAGCCACCGTCCTCACCGCTCACTTCCGACGCCTCCTCACCACTCTGCTTGGCCCAGCCTCAGACACTTGGCCACCCCCGAGTCTCTGCCATCACAGCCTGGCTCCCTCCTCCAGCTTGTCTAGACCTGACTGGCATCCTGCCCTCACCTGTGCATCCCTCCACCCGGCCGTCATGTGTGGGTCTGCCACCTGGAGAAGGCAGGAATGCAGCCTAGTGGTTAGCGCTGCTTGGAAGGCCCACAGCCTGTATCAGAGTGACTGAGTTCAAGTCCCGACTGCAATCCCAACGCCAGCTTCCCGGGGAGACAGCAGGTAGGGGCTCAAACGGGTGGGTCGCTGCCACGCATGCAGGTGTCAGGAACTGAGTTCTGGGCTCCCTGCTTCAGCAGGGCCCAGCCACAGCCATTGTATACATTTAGGAAATGAACCAACAGATGGGAGTACATACATTCTCCCTCTCCACCTGCCTCTAACAATGAATTCAGAAGGTAAGGGCTACAAAGGGGAAAAGCTTCTATAATATGGGCAAGTAAAGGGCAAGGCATGCACAAGAATCACCACTTCTCAAGGAACAAAGAGAAGAGTTGCAGGAGGTGAGGGTGCAGGACAGCCTTCCAGGAGACACAGCGTCCGAGGGACCTCCAGGATAGGATAGGGGGAAGCACCGAGCAAGGCCAGCCTCGATCAGCAGCAGGTCTACCCCTCCCGAGCACAGGCCGGATGAGGCCTCCTCGTCCCAGACCATCATGGATGACACGTGGAAACGGGACAGATGGCAAGGAGCTAACTTCAGTGTCCTCCTCCTCTGCGACCCTGGCCCACCGCCTGCCGGAGGACAGCGGCTCCCGAGTGTACACCTCTGAGCAAGGCTGCCAAGGAGCACCGCAGGCAGCGGGCCCAAGCAGGGTGTGACCTTGAGCTTTGGGAAGCCATGGAGAGTGGAGGATGATTTCTCAGTGCAGCAGTGCTGAGTCCTTGCTGGCTGGACAGCAACGCGTGGACAGGCAGGTGCTCTGCGTGACAGCCAGCACGGGCAAGGCCAGGAGGGCAAGCTCAGCTAGGCAGGGACACAGGGAGCCGGAGAGGAGCAAAGGAACAAACGGAAGAGAGGAGAGCGGGCTGGGGGAAGAGCTGGGAACGGGCCAGGACACAGCAGCGGCCAAGCGTTCTTAGGAATGTACTGAAGACAAAGCAGTGACCCGCATGGCACTTGACGAGTGTGACCGGGAACCTTACAGACCGGGAGCGGAGGAGGAGCAGCAAGAAGAGACCACCACCAACGAGCAGGGAGGGCTGGGTGTGCAAGTCAGACCAGGGCAGGTGGCAGGGAGGCCAGTGAGGGAGGAAACACGAGCGCCACCTGCACCCCTAAGTGCGGCTCCCGATGGGGCCCCGCACTGTGCTCCAGCACCCATTGTCCCTGCCCCAGGAGCAGCCTGGGCGGCCTCACCCTTCTTCCCACCCTACTGCAGAAACCCACCAGGCCAGCTCCACATCAAGGCGGGGAGTGAATCCACGCACTCCAGTCGCCCAGCCCCACATCGTTACTCCACACGTTCCACAATGAAAACGCAATGGGCTCTGCTCGGAGCTCAGCACTGGCTACCAGCAAGGACATTCACTCGGCAAATCCTGCCTGGGCACGAATTCACACACTTGTCCGCAGTGGGAACTATGGCGGGCACCTTACCTTGGGAGGAAGCATACGGCTCTGGGTAGTGCCCGTTGTAATGCAGCTGCGGCGGGGGTGGCATCACGTAGGGCTGGGGTTTAGGCTGACAAGTACAAAGTGAGACACAGGTTAAAACATGTCCTCACCTACCAGGGGCAGCCTGCGTCTCGGCTGGATTCTCTCCCTCCATTGAGAACGGTCTAGAGGAGTTACCCTCCAGACGTATGGAAAACTAACCCAGGGACGAAGCTCTCACTGTGCCTATGGTTTGCAGTGTCCCCTGCGTGGCCATGCCCAGCTCTTCACACAGAGTCCAAGGAAACTGCAAGGACCAGAGAGGGTGCATCCCAAGGAGGCGGCAGCAAGCAGCAGCTGACGCCGGTCTCCTCCTAGAAACAGCTGCGTGTACGCAGCTTGCACGCGGGGCAGCTACGGGGGCACAGCAGGTCACCTGCTTAGGACACCCACATGCCACAAAGACGTGACGGCCCAAGTCCCAGCCACTCAGCATCTGATCTGGCTCCTGCTCTACGTGCCTGGGAAGCAATGGGTGACAGTCCAGGTACTTGGGTCCCTGCCACCCATGTGGGAGAGCTGGCTGGGGTTCCTGGCTCCTGACTGGTACCCAGCCCATCCACGGATGTTGCAGGCATCTGGGCAAAGAGCCAGCAAACGGATGATCTCTGCTTTCCCCTCTCCCTGTCGCTCTTCCAGATAAGCAAACCGTAAAGCAAGGAAACTTACAGGAGCATGTTATCTAACATTCTAAATACCTACCAACTTATGATGACTTGTGACAAATAGTCCAAAATTTTCATATACATTATTCTAGTATTTAGGTATGTATATTACAATTACGTAACTATTAGATTGGAACTATGGACAATTGGACCAAAAAAAAAACTCAAAGATTACCACACTTTTATGGTCCAGACCCAAAACCATCACTGAAAAAAAAAAAGCAATAAAAACAATAATAAATAAACAGCAACAATCTTCTTTTCCCTTTTTCTTACCAGAGACACCCTGGAGGAGGACCTTCTGCGAATGGGGTTCACTGTGGCAGGCTGGGTTGGCCTGTAAGGCGAGAAGGTTTTGAGGAGAGTGCACACACAAGCCCTGAGCTAACGAGGGAACAGCAACTCCGCCAAACACAGGCCGACACACACTAGGCCGACATCTTCTATCGCCACCTAGGCCAGGAGACCCCTGCGCTGCCCATCAGCTGTGTCACCTGGCAACCTGGCCCCGCAGAGGCAGGCTCCAGGCAAACGCCTCTCTCCCCGCCGCCAGGTCAGCACCCAGCACCCCCACCCTGCATCCTGGAGGTGACCGCAAGCGTCAGCCCGCTGGCCCGAAGTGACGGCAACTCCTGGTAAACCCATACATGCACCTCCATAGGAGATGTCTCTGCGCCGTTTAAAATAGACCCTTTATAAAGCAACTACACAAATGGAGAACAAATTAAGAAGCAACCAAGAGTGTCAGGGTGTCGGCTGACACGGATGTGATCATCTGAGAATTTTTAAATTACCCATGCAAGTTCCATGTGAGAACAAACAAAACGGTTTAAAAAAGAAAGAAAGAATAAGAAGCCAACCAATGCATCAGTGACATTATTGCCTTCAGGGAGGCGGGCCTTGTCCGGGCTTGGGGTGCCACCCTCAGGGAGGCGGGCCTTGTCCGGGCTTGGGGTGCCACCCTCAGGGAGGCGGGCCTTGTCCGGGCTTGGGGTGCCACCCTCAGGGAGGCGGGCCTTGTCTGGGGTTGGGGTGCCGCCCTCATCAAGAATCAGACCTAAGCACCTGAACGCGACGTGTTCTTGGCTCTGTGGGAGAGTCAGGAAATCCTGTCGAAGCACTTTTTTTTTTTTTCTCAATCTTTTTGCCATCTGTTCCTGACTCATGAGCTTATGTGACCTAGAATTTCTGCTTACAGAAACCTCCTGAGATCCTTGGTTGTATGTTATAAACTAATTACTAGAAAGTCCAACATCACAAAGTGAACAATCAACCCAGCTCAGTTGGCGAAGTGACCCACAATGTTATGCCTTGTGTCTCAGAAATCCACATTAATTGCGGCACTCCTATCTGGTATCTTATAGTGAAACCCGAATATTAACTGATCACACACACATATATATATATATATGTAAAGTTCTGAGACAAGAAAATTGGTGCCATTTTAGAATCTTCACCTCAGGTGACCACAACTATTACTCCTTGTTGAACTCTGAAAATCACTGCCCTGTGCTGTCCTGGAAGGATTCAGGCTCTTGAGAAGCAGGTGCTCCTTTTCCAAAGGATTTTCCCTTCCGCTCGTGCTCATATCAGTAACAGATCCGCACGGACCACCTGGGCTTTCTCTTGAATTTCTAGAATATTCTTTAACTAAACAGTAAATATTCCTGAGAACTTGTGTCCAGAATTTTAACACGAGCACATTCTACAGCCCTGTCCAAGGGGCCTCTGGTTATTCTCCACTGTCAGGAGCAGTTTACGCCAACAGTGTACTTTGAACTTGACATATAAGAGGTGTCTAAAGGGACTGCATTTTCAAAGTACTATAAAGCAGGATGAAGGGTTGTGGATAGAATCTTCTCCCAAAGAATCTCAATCATGTGACCACAGGTGCCCAGCCTGGAGCAAAAATAAAACCCAAGGATGCAGAGCTCAGGTACAGGCAGCTCCCGACACCAACTATGGTGCCCTGGCTGGCACAGCACCCAGAGTGGGGGCACACACAGCCCATTGCAGGAGCCGGTTCTGCTGGACACAAAACCAGCCGGTTTGTCTTCCAACCTGCCAAACAGTTTCTGGCAGCCTTGCCAGCAGCCTCCTCAACAGGGCTCCCACAGGAAGAGCTGACCCTGAGATCAGGGCACAGGAGACAATGATGCACCTGCCAGCCAGACTTTGCAGGCAGCGACTGTGCACACAGGCGACAACAAGCACGAGACAGCTGAGGAACACTTAAGAGAAACCCCTGGGACGCAAGCCCTGAACCAGGCCGTCAACCAGGCTGCCAGGACGAGCAGAACACGCGTGGACTATCGAAACCAGGCCGAGGAGGAGCACACGCGGTTATCATGCCATCGGCACACCAAGCCCACAGGTGAGGGCCCGCCATGATCCTGATTGTACAGACTAACTGGGCCAACCCTGATCACCTGGCAAACACTGGGCAGAACTGGCACTGGAACCAGGTGGGGCTGTCAGACGGCTCCACCTTGCCCCTCCTGAGGCATCATTTATCTAAGCTCTTCTGCAGCTCCAGCCACCCTGGCCGCTCCGGGGAGGAACAGGGCACAGCGTGGTGCCTGCTGTGCCTGGCACACCCAGAGGGAGCACTGACTTGCATGTGGATTGAACAACACAGTGAGGGAGGGCGCGGCTCACATCTCTAAGAGTCAAGGCAATCCTGCTCCTTTCTCCCGGGTGTGTTTATTTGTAGCCAGTGGAGCTGGTGATTTTGATCAACAAAATATCAGACTGTAGGAACAGAGAAGTTTTGTCTCAGTGACTCCTCTTGAACTTGCTATAATAAGGGAAGGAAGAACAAGAGCTATTTTCCTCTCTGATGCTCACGCAGCCCAGGACATGTGCAGGCTGCTGGCTCAAAGATCAAAGGTTGGGAGCCCAGCACAATGGCTCAGTGGCTAAATCCTCGCCTTGCACTTGCCGGGATCCCATATGGGCACTGGTTTGTGTCCTGGCTGCGCCGCTTCCCATCCAGCTCCCTGCTTGTGGTCTGGGAAAGCAGTCGAGGACAGCCCAAAGCCTTGGGACCCTGCACCTGTGTGGGAGACCCAGAAGAGGTTCCTGGCTCCTGGTTTCAGATAAGCTCAGCTCTGACCGTTGCAGCCACTTGGGGAGTGAATCATCGGACGGAAAATCTTCCTCTCTGTCTTTCCTCCTCTCTGTACATCTAACTTCCCAATAAAAATAAAATAAATCTTTAAAAAATAATAATAAAATTTAGAAAACAGCCTTTTAAACATAATTAATTCCCATTTTCAAAAAAATCATCTGTTCTATCCGCAGACACAAAATATGCAAATGACAAATATGTGAATGTGGTCTATTCATACTTGCGAGTAAACAGTGATATTCTAAAAGTTAATTTTCTGAGAATAATCAATTTACCATAAATAAGCAATCAGTTGTTAGTTTTCTTCTGAATTTTAAAATTATTACTAGGTGGGGAATTTGCCAAAATATTCAGTTAAATGCGGCATTACAATAGAAAAAAAAACAAAAATATATAAAAAGACAAATAAAAATAAACAAAAAGGGGGATGATATAGATGCCAGCTAGACAGCACTCAGATTTACGGCTTATTCTAAATAACTGATTCTCCACTATTCTCCAGAAAAGAAATGAATGAGGTAATGAGGGCACAATGCTATGAATACTCTTAAATCTGTGAGAGCCTTTAAAGTGAATGCTCTGTGTTCCAGCTGCAGATCTACCCTACGAGCTTTAGAACACACTTCTGCACAGAAATAAAGTCACCTGTGGCCAGGGACCAAGCTAGCAATGGCAACCACAGGCAACTGCTCTGCACTGGGAACATCACCGAATCCAACCACCAGAGGGCACCCTTCCACCTGCAACTGCACCAGGACTCCAACTCCTAGAGTTCCCACATTGCTGCCAGCACGATGGTTACTGGGCACCGGTTCACCTCTCGGCAGCTCCACTTCCTTTCCAGCTCCCTGCTTGTGGCCTGGGAAAGCAGTCAAGGATGGCGCAAAACCTTGGGACCCTGCACCCGCGTGGCAGACCCAGAAGAAACTCCTGGCTCCTGGCTTCAGATCAGCTCAGGTCAGCTCCAGCCAAATCTTGGGGAGTCAACAAGCACATAGATCTTTCTCTATTTCCTTCTTTCTGCATATTGCCTTTCCAGTAAAAAATAAATAAATCCTTTTTTAAAAAGGGGAGAGGTCTCCCACATTCACAAAGGAAAGTCCCGCCCAACACACCAGACACCAACGACTTTCACTTTTTTCTGAAGGGACCCGACAGCACCCCAGGCTTCCCAGGCAGAGCTCCTGCCCCTCTTCCTGCTGCAGATCCATTCAGCAGTCACTGAAGGCCCTTGCTGGGCACCAGGGCTGCAGCAGCAGAGGGAGTGTCCGTCCTCGGGCCATGCCTGGGACGGAGGGCAAACAAGACGCAAGGAACCAGCACACGTGCTCAGCCAGGAAGAAGACAGGTGTGGGGGACGGGGCGGGTGTATAAAGAGGGGGTACACGGGATCAGATGACTGACTGTAAGGGGGACACAAGAAAAGATCCTTCCGGCTGAAGGAGGAGAGAAAGGAGAGTTCGAGGCTGGCGCACACGGCTTGGCAGGGATACCAGCATGGCCGGAGCAGAGAAAGCAGGAGAGGGTGACCGCAGCAAGCCTGGAGAAACAGGCAAAGACAGCGAGGACCTCGCACCTCTGCGGCCACTGGGACGCGAGGACAATGGACAGTCGTAAGGAGAGGGGCAGGATCTGACTCCTGAAGCACTAAGCTCGTTCTGACTGACTCGGCCAGAGAGGAGCAGATGTGCAACGGGAAGGAAAGACCAGCGCTCGGCTGCGGATGAGCCACCAGGGCGGCCTCGGCAGCAGGTGCAGCAGGTGCGTCGGGACAGGCAGCTTCTCCCCCGCTTCCAGCTGACAGGTAGAGAGGGATCGCCACCTGCTGGTGCATTTCCGCAACGCTCAGAACAGCAGCACCCTCCCTGACTGGGGCGGTCAGTGTGACCTCCAGGGTCAGGAGAAGGTTCGCATCAGGGGCCAGAACCAGGTATAGAAGCGGAGGCCTGTGGTGTGGGATGCAGGTATGCTAACGGTTGTAGCACTGGCAGTGCTCACTGCTGCATCGTGCGTGGCACGAGAAGGAACAGAAGTGTGCCTGCAGATGGAGCACGGTGCACGCCGGCTGCTGGCCTGAGAAGGGCAGGGGAGACGTGGACTCGGACCAGGAGGAGATCAAAGGGTCTGTTGGTCCCATCCGCTGTGGATACCTCTTAGTGCTGAGGGACAGGTCAGGGTCTGTAGGTCCCATCCGCTGTGGATACCTCTTAGTGCTGAGGGACAGGTCGGGAGGCAGCAGTGTGCGGCACTCAAAGCTCAGGGAGGAGGAGCTAGAAGGCAAGCCTGCCACACTCGGGCACGGACGCCTGAATCAGTGGGAAGGGGAGCCGGCAGCGGGGGCAGCTAAGAAACAGGAGGGGAGAGCCGGGAGCGGGCGGCGCCTGAGCAGCAGGCAGCCTTGAGGGGTCAGTGCCCTGAGCTGCGGGGAAGCCACCTGACCTTGACCAGCAGTGTCACCAGAGAGGTGGCAGTAAGGAGCAAGGGCAAGAACACAGACCTCCTGGAAACAGGAAACGGCGGGGCGGGGCTGCAGGGGAGCTGGCCCCAAGTGTCGGGGGCGTGTCCCTGACAGGTGCACTGCCGGCTGGGATCCCCCAGGCCTGCTCGAGGGCACCTTGACTGCGAATGGTGAGCAGGGTGTTGGTTTTTAACAAGAATGGGTACTTTTCCCTTTTTACACTCCAATACGCAGAGTGGGAATAACTGAATGGAACAAAATTTTACAGGTGTATCCAGTGGGATTTGGCAGCCTCCTGCTGCTGTGTGTCGGGGAGGCAGCAGCTGGGGGCTCAGTTCCGTGACCCCTGCTCACTTTAAAGACCTAGACTAGCTGCAGACTCACTCCCAACCTTGACCTGACCCAGCCCTGGCTATCACAGGACTGAACCAGCAGATCAAAGATTCCTGTCTGTCTTCCTTCCAATAAAAAAACTTTAAAAGAAGTTGATCCAAAATAAAATAAAATAAATAAAACACCAAAAAGAAAAAAAGAAGTTGATCCAAAGCTAAAATGGGGGAGGGGGCAGGGCAGGAGGGGTCATTTAAACACAATTAAAGTGAACAATTTATCAGAAAAGTGTCAAAAAGATGTCTGACAAGTTTCTCTCCGAATGATACTTAAGATTAAAATGTCTAAATCCAGGGCTGGCACTATGCCTCAACTGGCTAACCCTCAACCTGAAAGCGCTGGCAGCCCACATGTGCAGCAGCTCCTGTGCCAGGGGCTTCACTTCCCGTCCAGCCCCCGTTCCACGTGGGAGACCAGGAAAAGGCGGCTGGCTTCAACTGGCTCAGCCCTGGCCGTAGCGTCATTTGGCAAGTGAACCAGCAGATGCAAGACCCCCGTCTCTCCTCTCTGCAATTCTACCTTTCCAATAAAAATAAAAACCTCTAAATCTGTCACTCTCTGCTATTTCCATGAGCGCAACATACTTACAGGTTACACTGGTTTAGTCGGTAAAATTTGTGTCTCGCGACGCACAATCTCCACACGTATTTGGCTGTTTCCATGTCTTCCTGGCAAACAAATATGCACAAGGCAACATGAACCGTTGTATACGACCTGGTATTTTAATGCAGAGTTTGTCGGAGGACAAGGCTAATGACCGGCCAGCATTTCACGACAGTCACCTTCTGTACACTGCGATCCTGCGTATCCTCCCACACGAATGCCATGCGGGGTCTGAATTATGACGGCAACAGGAGGATTGTCCAGTAATGTGAGTCTGATATTAAACTGTTACAGAACGGATATGAGGGTCCACACGCCCACCTCCCACATCGGGTGCCAGGGTTGACACCTGGCCCTGGCTCCAGCTGTCCCTGTGCCCTCGTAGGAGACCCAGAAGAAGCTTCTGGCTCCCGGCTCTGGATCAGCTCAGCTCTGACTGTTGTAGCCACTTGGGGAGTGAGCCAGCAGACAAAAAAAATCTCTCCCCATCTCCTTTTCTCTGTATATCTGCCTTTCCAATAAAAGTAATAATAACACATCTTTTAAAAAATTAAAAAGGACAAGGGTAGGCAACCGCCACAGTCAGTAGCCCCTCAGGATGCTCACATCCCATCTCTGGGTCTCGTTCCTGTCTCAACTCCACTTCTGTTCCCAGTTCCTGCTCATGCTACTATGGGAGACAATGTTGCTGGATACTATGGGAGACAATGGCCGGCAAGCAGGTGGCCGCTGCCACTCCACCAGGAGACCCGGAGTGAGTTCTGGGCTCCCGGCAGCGGCAGCGGCGAGCACAGGCAGCTACCGCAGTGCGCTGCAGAACAAGCCTGCAGCCTGCCGCGCCCTTCCTAGCTTGTCGCACACTCTGTCTCTCTCCCAAATACTTTTTTCTGGTTGTTGTTTGGTTTGGGGTTTTTTTTGGTTTGTTGTTTTTGCAAACAGAAAAGTTATTTGAGAAGGGGCGAGGTGAGCGGGGAAGAGGGAATTGGAGGAGGCGGGGTGCCTCTCAGAAGGAGGGGGGACACCGCAAATACGTGTTTAAAAAGAGTTCTAAACGTAGTTTCTAAAGACACATTTTATTAGTCACATATATCAAGACTTTTTAAACAAAACATTTGACTCAGACTCCATATCGCCTTCATCAAGAAAGCAAGGTCTAATAACACTTAAATATTTCTGCAAATGATTTGTTAGTGGAATTAAATATTAATGCTTTCTTGCTGTCCCGTGCAGTCCCTGAGTCCTAATTCAAAGCTCACCATGACCTGCAATACTTCCCCAAGGAATCATTCACTCAACAACACTGAGTGAGTGATTGTTTTTGGCCAAGTGCCATTGTGTGAAAGGTAGTATGATTCCTAAAACTTTGTGATATTTGTAAAATATGAAATGCTGTAATTGTTAATGTCATCCCGTCTCCCCCCAAAATAAAATGACGCAAAGGCCAAGTTGCAGCGCTTACTCACAGTTTGAAACTGGATGGTCTCCTCTTTGCTGGCCAGCTCTAACGCAAAAAAGGACTTGTTGTGGGACATGTTGGCGATGTCATGCCACCTGCAGGACGACACGGAGGACTGCGTGAGTGCTCACAGGTGCAAGGGGAGAAGCATTTTCTCATTACCATTTTTATTTATTTTTTTCTTTGTTTTATCTCTATTTTTTTAATTGATTTATTCGAAAGATAGTGTGATCAAAAAAGAGAAACAGGAAGGCCGGTTTCTCCCGCGGGTCACTCCCCGGGTGCCGGTGACAGAAGCGGGGCCGGGACGGAGCCAGGAGACCAGAACTCCGTCCGCGTCCCCCATGAGTGACGGGCACCCAGGTCCCTGAGCTGTCCTCCCGGGGTGCAGGAACGAGCAGCTCTTACAGAGGCAGGGCAGCAAGTACCTGAACTGGCACTCGGATGCAGACTGCAGGCATCCCAGGGGGCTTTTATCCCTTACAGCACAATACTTGTGCCCAGATTCTTCCTTAAACTGGACGCGTAAGTCAACATTTGTGAATCATTTTGTTAGAAATAGTCATTTCAATCAGCTAGATTAGCTCTGCCTTCACACAGATGAAAATAAACATTTACCAAATAAATGAAAACTAGAAATCACCAGTCAGGGCCACAGGGAATATGCAGAAAGAAGCAAGAAAAACACCTGAATATCACAGGGGGCCTCCCATTCTTGTGCTTCACGAAGATTCCTTCGAGACATGCTCCGATGGATATATCACTTCCTTGGCTATCCTGAGAGGAGAGGGCAGCAGAGAGAGGTGTCAGGAAGGAGGTGTCAGAAGGCTACAACATCATCTACTTCAGTCAACTTGACTCTCAAAGCAAAGATGCCCAAAAGCTCGAGCAGGAAGGAGCAAGATCAGTGTGACAAACAGTACAGCTGTGCCCCACAGGGCAGGGGGCAGGCAGCCGCACCCCGTGGAACACCCCGGAGCACAGGCACTCAAGCTAAGACCAGGAGGAGACCATTATTAGCACGTCAGAACCCGGTGCAACCAGTGTCACATGGGCAGCCCAGTCCAGAGCGGAGTGTGACGTGTGGGGTGCACTACTGCACGTGAACACCTGTTCCGAAGCATGGACTGCCAAGGCTGTGGGTGACGAGCACCTCGGCTTTTGAGCCTGCAGGCTCACACGTGTCTCCAGCTGCCGCACACCACGGCAGTCTCCAGTGTCCTGGCTGTTCTCTGGCCAGCTGCCGAGTCGGACCTCGGCGAGCCCTGGCGCCATGCTCACCTTGGCCGGGTAGCTCTCTTCGCCGTAGCCGTCCATCGTCTCCACTTCCTGCATGTAGAGCATCTCAGCGTCGGGAGCGGCGAGGCCCCTGCAACCCAAGACACATTTACTGACGCTGCTCACAAAACCAATTACTATTACTCTTTGTTAAACTAAGAGCTTTTCTTAAGGACACATCCACTTGCCATAAGACACTGCAAGTATCTCATAATTCTGAGTATCTGTGATTCTTATTATTATTATTCTAATATTTACCAAAAGCCAACCACAGGCTATGTAGGCAGGGTTCTGAATGAGAGCAAATTACATAAAGTTTATGCTTTAGGCAGCCTATGGAGCAGATGGAACAAGAAAAGCTAGGATCTTTCTAATCTACTGAGTCATTGCTTATCGCCCTGAGAGGTGTGGCAGTAAACCCCCAATGCCAAGCACAGGAATAAAGAGTGGAAGATCCTTTTGGACCAGGTGAGTCACAAATGGGCGGGCAGTGTGCGTGACGCACAGGTGACTGAGCGCACTGCACTAACTTTAAGGAAATGGATGGTAAATGAAAGAACAGATGAAAGTGACAGAAATCAGGACAGCATGTGGCTGAAGAGCTCAATTGGGCCAGACAAAAAAAAAAAAAAAAAAAAAGAGCATGGTTCTCCTGGCCGGCAGACAGGTAAGGGAGGCCTTTCATGGCAGCGTAAGAAGCGCAGGCTGGAGGAAAATGAGAGGCGTCTGGCGCATCTGGGAAGAAGGGGAGACGTGGAGGAGGGGAGGGGCATTTCAGGATGATGAATCCTTGCCAGTCGTCCCAGGACCACAGCGGGAGGGCAGGGGCATCACGATCGGGCCCCGTGGCCAGCGCTGTGGGCACAGCAGGGAAAGCGGCCGCCTCCGATGCAGCATCCACTACGGTTCCCAGTTCCCCGTTCACTCCACTTCCGATCCAGCTCCATGGTAACGTGCTGGGAGAAGCGGTGGAGGATGGGCCAGAGGCTGCACCCCGCACCCCTGTGGGCACCCCAGAGGAAGCTCTGGGCATGGTCTCAGCTCTCGCTGCCATCTGGGAAGTGAAGCAGCAAATGAGAGAGTTCTCTCCCTCTCTCCCTCTCTGACTTTCAAATAAATAAACCTTTAAAAAAAAATGCCCACACCTATGACAAGTGGAAACACTAAGTTTTGTGTGTTTGTGCTTGGTTTTTCCCTCTCAAGCCGCAGAAAGATTACTTGTCTTAAAGATTACACATAGAAGGATCCAATGACATATACATTTCCTGCAACCCTTCCAACAGTGTCTATCAGCACACAGTGGGCGGACGGGGGGCACTAAACACCACAGCTCCTCAGGGGACAGCTATGTGGCTTCATGGGAAATAACCCTGCACCGGACCTATCCCAACAGAAAACCACCCACGCCCCACGCTAACCTGCTACAGGCCTCAAAATGCACGCTGAAGAACTGACAGCTTTCAGAGCGGCTGCCGTCAACACTCCCCAGCCCCCTGCCTAGAAGGGCGTGCGAGTTACCCTACGGCTGAGCGCTCACCTGGAGCAGCACTGGGTGCAGGGCGGGCACTGCCCCTAAACGCTGGTGACTTGTAATACATACTAGCCACCGCAGGAAAGGACCAGGCTTGCCCGCTGTCACTGCACACGTCACACTTTGACAGGTGTGACCTCTGCCTCCCTCCCCTGTCTGCTTTCTTAATGTTACCTGTATTTCTGATGTAGTAGGGCCACTTTCTGGGTTGCTTCTTCCAGGACTTTCGCATCTTGCAGCCATGCCTGAAGAAAACACGGCGGCAGTAACTGTGTGAGACAGCTGACCTGCATCGCCACCCAGCAGTCACCCTGGACCCCCTTCCCAGGCAGGCACAGCGAGCACTGGAACTATCTGCAGGGGATTTAGCTCACGCAAGCCACGGTGAGCTTTCCAAGGAACCAAGGAAGCAGCTTCTGCTCAGGGGTCAACACTCCTGTCCTGAGAAGCATTCGGAAGGACTGAAGCCAGCTCCACCACCACCTCTCACGCATGGCCCGCAGACGCAGATGCGGCCCCTCCTGCAGAAGGTACTGGCTCCTTCATTATCTGCTTTTAAAATGGCTGCTGTGAGGTCAAGTTCATTCCACCAAAACTACGTGAGGCTTCAAGCCTTCAGGTGCAAAGTCAAGCTTCAGCAAGGGCTCACAGACACCAAAAATGAACCTGTCTCTCCAGGCTCAATCAAAGCCAGGTGGGCTGGGCACAGGGCCAAGTCCACGGTACCTTCCACCCCTGTGCTGGGCATAGGGCCACATCCACGGGGTCTTTAACCCCCGTGCATTTGCAAGAATCCAGAAAAACACAGCACTCGCACCCAAGAGGCTATGACCCTGTCCAGCAAGTCCACCACAGGGAACGGACGTCAGGGCTTACCACGGGCACAGGAATAAACCATTTACAAAGAGGTTAAAAGGAGTCTTACCACCGGAAACAAGGCAAATTTCTGAAGGAAGTCCTGGGATTCATATTGATCAAAGTCACCAAAATCGGCTAGACAGAATGCAAAGATTCACATGTTAATGATACTTAACGTGCAGAGCCAAAAACAGGAACAATAAAATTCAATATTCAAATGCTTGTGATTCCAAAGTCAGTGCTGTATTACACCTATAAAGAGAGCACTGAAAATACCACTTGAAAATATTAATTAGGTGGCGTTGTGATCTTGACTTGCCAAAAAAAAAAAAATTTTACTTCCCATTAAATTAAAATCTGCAGGGCCAGAGTTGTGGCACAGCACATTAAACCAGCGTTTACCTTGAGCACATTCCCATATTGGAACGTGGGCTGCAGTCTCGGCTATTCCACTCCTAACACAGGATCCTGCTATCGAGCCCGGGGAAAACAGCGAAGCATGACCCAAATGGGCTTGGGCTTCTGAGCCCACAGGGGAGAGCTTGGCGCCCAGCTTCTGGCTGGCCCAGAAGAGGCTCTTGTGATCATCTGGGGAATGGATGAGCTAGATAAAAAAGCTCTGATGCGCTCTCTCTGTCAAATAAATAAATAGCTTTTCCCCTTTTTCCCCTGAAGGAAGCCCCTTAGTATTTCACTAACATATAAACATTACTAAAAAGGCACACAGCAAGTCAGCTAGTTGAAGAATTCTCGTCTCTGTTAACACACCTTTTAATCTGACAGAGCAATGTCATCATTAATTGCCCTATTTACCTTGAACAGCCAAGCCTGCCAGCTGAATAGCTTGTTCCAATGTACAAGGAATGTTTCCTTCCAAGATATCCTTCTTCAGCTGCAAATAATACTGATACCTATTTAATAAAAAAAAAGGCAATTTTACAAAGTCAATATTAATGTTACCCCTGAGACAATGCATTTTATCGCTTTTCAGTAGAGAAGCATAAAGCAGTCAGAGCCTTAACAGCACCCAGAGTTTCAAAGAAGGAAAACAATGATCTTGGCCGTATCTACACCTACACACAGCCTTTAATCAATTTAATGAGTCACTTATCCCTAACTGTAGTTATTTCCAAGCGAAAACCATCTGTAACATTACAACTGGTCATTTGTAGCATGCCTTCTAAGACAGGTCCTGCAATTTGTTCTTTTTGGTTGCGCAAATGAAGAATGGAGGGCTAGCCTTCACTATAAATATTCTCAGGCCCAACGATTAAGAAGGGGTTAGAAATAAAATACACACACACACACACACACACACACACACACACACACACACACACACACACAGAGAGAAGCGGGTTAGAATGCCTGCGCCCCACATCAGGGGATCTGGATTTGAGCCCTGCCTCTGGCTCCTCATTCCACTTCCTGCTCATGGGAACCAGGGAAGCCGTGTGGCCGTAACGGAGCCCTGCCACCTGCATGGGAGACCTGGACCGAGTTCCTGGCTTCAGCCCAAGCCTGGCTCAGCCCTCAGAGGCATTCAGGGGAATGAGCCAGGGCACAGGAGTTCTCTCTTGCTCTCCATCACAAATAAATAACAAAACTCCAGGGACAATGCTATTGCTAGGCTTTGCTGCTCTGTTTGGTTTCTACCTAGCACCGGAAAGTAAAACCAAAAGAAAACATTTGCTCCTGGTATTTCAGATCATATTTGTATTAAGAAATTTTTTTATAAGTACCAAAAAGAAAAGCTGCAGTCAAGAGTCAAGACACTTTCTTAGTATTCTATAATGTGTTTATTTTTCTGTTTACCCTCTATATTTTTACCACACTCAGCTCTGGTTATTAGCCAAGCTTCAGATCTCCAACTTAATATTCTGCATGAACTTGGGCAAGTTATCATCTATGGATCTCAATTTTATTACCAGTGAGATGAGGGGACCATGACCCCCTTCATGGAGCTGAGAAGTATTAAATGATGGATGAAAAGCTCTAGACTAGCACAAGACCAGACACCTGGCAGGTACTTAAACAGCAGCACTAACTATCAGCAACCTTGGACTTGAAACCATCAAGCAGTGGTGGATCGTGTCTCCATTCTGATACAGCTCAGAAGTAAAGATTTATCACTTCCTTTTGATTTATTTGCTCAGCAAACAAGGGCCTTCGCTGTGTTGCACATTGTTGGGGCCAGTGACCTTCGTGGGAATCCATGATGCCATCCCGAGTCCAGCAGGTCCTCCAGCTGGGCTGTCAGGGAAGCACGGCCCTGCTTAAGTCCAGAAGCACCTTCTCTTGACTCATGTCACACACATCCTGGCTTACGACACCTTCCTCTGTTGAAGTTAGTTTTCAAGTCTCTGTTCTTGCTACCAAAGAATCTGACCAAAACACCACCATGCACCAAGGTGGGGCACGACTGAAGGCTGACTTTGCTTAGTCCACCTGCAGGATCCCTGAATCTCCCTCAGTCAGGAAACAGAGTACGGCTCGGAGACCCTGACCAAGAGCAAAGCTGCAATTTTCCATAATATAGCTCCTTTTCAAAGCCGAGCTGGAGGAGGCAAGATGTAAGAAATCTATACATTAAATGTACTGTCCACAGACTCCCGTCTACGTGTTCGAGACTCTTTCCTGAAATCCAATCAAAACACAGAATGCAACTTGCCTGGAAGAAATAGTTTAACCTTGTACCAACATTTTTATTTTGTCTTAAATAAACTGCTATGAGAGTGGATTTTTCCATATTCTAATTCATCCCTTTCTAAATCAATGTCCTGGCTATAAAACTGTACCTGAAGATTCTCTCTTTAAGCGACATATCACAAAATTCGCCAAGGTTACAAGAACGCTTCCCTACACCACATAAGGCTGGGGCTCAAAATGCTTCTTCTGTTTCAACTACGTGGAGCTCACAGCTAATATCCACGAGCCGGTTCTAATCCCGGCGGCCCCGCTTCCCATCCAGCTCCCTGCCTGTGGCCCCGGAAAGCAGTCGAGGACGGGAAAGCCTTGGGACTCTGCACCTGCGTGGGAGACCTGGAAGAGGATCTGGGCTCAGCTCCAGCCGTTGCAGCTGCTTGCGGAGTGAGTCATCGGACGGAAGATCTTTCTCTCTCTCCTCCTCTCTATATATATCTGACTTTGCAATAAAAAGAATAAATCTCTTTTTAAAAAATAAAAATAATAATAACATGACTGACTTTATAATTATTAAAAGAGAGAGAGAGACCAAAATCTTGTGGGCTGGCATTAAGGCCTAATTTTGATTAAAAAAAAACACACACACTGATGAAACCACTGCAAAACTGTTCTTCTACACCCTCCTGCCTCCTTGGAAACCACTGTCACCAGGCCATCAGCTGGCCCTTCTCCGGGCCATGGCAACCCAGGGAGCAGAACGTCTGGGAAAAGGGGCAGGTGCCCTTGGACACTCTCAGAGCGTCATGTGAGTCCCACGTGACTGACTCCTTGAAGTCTGTGCTGTGCAGCCAGATCAATCTAACTTCACCAGGTTCTCTTCAATAAGCAGTCCTAGCATCTGACTCTAACAGGCCTAGGGTTCCTCCATCTTTCCTAGAGTTAATACCATGTGTAGGTCTGGATGACGCATGCGCTGTGACACAAGCATCCTTTCACTGGCATATAATCTCACCATCTGATACGTCTTCCATGATCTTTGTAAAATACAGGGTTGATCAAGCCTGTCGTCTTTTTTTTTAAAGATTTATTTTATTTTTATTGCAAAGTCAGATATACAGAAAGGAGGAGGAGAGAAAGAGAGGAAGATCTCCCGACCGATGATTCACTCCCCAAGTGACCGCAACGGCCCGTGCTGTGCCGATCCGAAGCCAGGAGCCAGGAACTTCCTCCAGGTCTCTCATGTGAATACAAGGTCCCAAGGCTTTGGGCCGTCCTCAACTGCCCTCCAGGCCACAGGCAGGGAGCTGGATGGGAAGTGGAGCTTCTGGGATTAGATACGGTGCCCATATGGGATCCCAGCGCGTTCAAGGCAAAGACTTTAGCCGCTAGCCACTAGGCTACCACACTGGGCCCCAATCCTGTCATCTTAAAATCTAAAAATGAATCATGACTTTATAACTAAGAATAACCAATGTTTTAAAAGCTCTCTAGGTAATATCTGAAATATTGTGAGAACACCGTCTGCACTATGCCCCTGCTTTACACAAGCTATTTACTCTAGAAAATTCCTTCTGAATTCTATCAAAAAGTCAACTTCTTTACTTTCCCTCTCAGGCTCTTCGCGCCCCAACCCTAGGAATTCAGAGATTTAATTAAAGTATTTATTATCACAAGATACTGTAATTACTGATTTACATGAAGGATGAGGAACTCCCCAAGGGTAAGAGAGAGCAGCCTTGGTTGCATATTCATCAACAACAGCAACAAATGCACTTAGATCCTATCATATCTTCAGTAAATGTTTAAGTGAGTTAAATTGACCAGTTCATGTTTTTCTTCCTGCCTTCTATTTCTCTTGTCAATATTTAGATCTCAGACCTGCTGTGTAATCAGTTCATTTTATCCCTACCACCTGATCCTTGCTTCTTTGGCTTTCCATCCCACAGGTAACTGGCAGATTAAAAAAACAAAAAACCCCCTCACTGCATCCAGCACAGGGCTGTACCAGGTCCTCAGGATCTGCAGGGCACAAGGCTGGTGAATTAAGAAAAACAACACTAATGAAACCACGGGTTTGAAACTGAGGAAAAGGGCAGGTATTTGGCGCCCTCCTTGCAATGCAAGTCAGGATGGGGTGCCTGGACTCGATCCTGCTGCTGCTGGACACTCTGGAGGTACAGGGGATGGCTCGGCTTTCTGGGTCCCTGCCACATACCCTGGGGGCCTAGATCCAGTTCTGGCCTACTGGTTTTTGCCTGTCCGTGTGTCGGCTGTTGCAGGCAACTTAGGAATTGAAGCCACAGATGAAAACCCTGTCTGCCTTTCAGATGAAGAGATAATAAGAAAAAATTTGTAAACAAAATCTGGGACAAAGATAAACACACAAATAACCATAAAAACAACTGCCTCCTTAATTCAAGCAGAAGTGAACTCCAGGGCCGTGGGGAGAAAGCAAAGCGCATTCCAGTCTGAGAAGACAAGAAGCTTGAAGGACGAGTCAGACGGAAACACACAGCAGGCAAAGACCAGAACACGAAGACCAGCAGGAATGCAGTGTGCCCGACACACTGGCAGTGGTACGGTCTGATCCCAACAACGCAACCCAGAGTTTGGAAAGTAAGGTAGCAGCAGATTTTGGAGAACTTAGAAAAGTAGGTACAAGAATTGAAACTGTATTTCATTGTTTTGTTTTTATTTTCTTCAGGAAAAGAGGAAGGGAACATTAATCTCTTTTCCAGCCCTTCCTGTCATCTTTGCTCTCTGCTTGTGGTCCTTCTCCAGGGCCTCAGCAGGCTGAAATGTTCTCTTTGTCTGCTGTCCGCCCACAGCTTCCTCACCCAGCTCCCTCCAGAAAAGATGGTCATGGGAAGTTACAGATCTCAAGAACCTCGGCACATGACCGCAAAGAATGAACACACATTCTATGACTAGTTGTTTTGAATCCCCACTCTCATTAAAACCTAACAGGGAATCCAACACTGTAGCGTTAAAGGTGACGCACCCGCGCACCTATAAGAGTGCAGGGACAGGGCAGGGAACCGTCCTTCCCTTGAATTGTGCCTTTATGCCCAGTGAAGTCATAGCTCACCCAACATGCAGTAGAACTCCCTGACATGCCACATACCAGCCCGCCCTGCAACGCAGCGGCTGACGAGGCCCGCAGCCAGGCATCTCCAGGCTGCAACCTTAGCTGCGCTTTCTCAGCCTCACTAGGGCATGCCCCACAGACAGCGGCGTGCGGCTCCTCACCTAGTCGTCTCCTGCTGCAGCTGCGAGACGGAAGGCACGTAAAACAGCACTCCGAAGTACACGGTGGGTTCCAGGGCGCATTTATCCAGCTGCTTCTTCAGAGGCTTCTCCAAATCCACCCAGCGGCGCTGATTTTGCTTGTTGTAGTACCAGAGGCTGAAGTAAGTGACCTGGAAAGACAGGGACGGCACTGACGCGGGTGGCAAGGACAAATGGATTGCGGGGGCCTTCAACTGCACCAGCCCACGACCCGGGACCAGGAGACCGCAGCCTCCCCGCGCCTCCATCTCAAAAAGGGACAGTAAGGAAAACGGGAAGGACACAATAAAAAGGCAAGACACATCCAGAAACAGAGGTAAGAGTCAGCCGTCACACATGCCAATCCATTCTTGAGATCTGTACAATAAAATGCATTCACAATCTAGACGTGCAACCTAGTAGGCACTGCAAAACGTTATATACACACATTCACAACAAAAATACTAAAATATAGATTTTATATAAACATATAAAAAATATATACATATACATATGCTTAGTTTTTCAATCACCAAAATGTTGAATGTATCATAGTATTTTAAAATAAACTTAAGTCAGGTTCTTCAGAATTATGCCTAAATAGTGCTACTCCAACTTGCACCACTCTCGAATCGGGTTCTTACTGCATTTTGGGGCCAGCATTGTGGCGTACTCAATGAGCCCCAACCTGCAACACCAGCAGCATCCTGAGCCACACCTCAAGTCATAGCTGCTCCTTTCCCAATCCAGGTCCCCACGAAGGCACCTGGGAGAGCAGCTGGTGAAGGCCTATGCGTCCCTGCACCCACACGGAAGAGCCAGGCAGAGTTCCAGGCCCCTGGACACTTTTCTGGAGTAATTCAGGAAGAAAGCCCAATGAGGTGGCCTAGTGACTAAAGTCCTCGTCTTGAACGCGCCTGGATTCCATAAGGGTCCTGGTTCTAATCCCGGAAGCTCCACTTCCCATCCAGCTCCCTGCCTGTGGCCTGGGAAAGCAGTCCAGGACGGCCCAAAGCCTTGCGATCCTGCACCTGCGTGGGAGACCTGGAAGAGGCTCCTGGATCCTGGCTTCAGATTGGATCAGTTAAAGTCTTTGTAGCCACCTTGGGAGTGAATCAGCAGATGGAAGATCTTCCTTTCTGTCTCTACTCCTCTCTGCATATCTGACTTTCCAATAAAAAAAATAAATTAAATAATACAAGAAGGTGCCAATCCCATTAAAGCCATGGGTTTTACAAAAGTTTTGGACCCTTCAGATTAATCTGTACTCTTGTATGGAGCCCTGCGTCATCCTATGGCTCTTAAGCCTTGGCAAGAGTGAGGAAGGTTTTACTTTAATAGAAAGTGATATTACTGTGGACAGCATTGTATTGCAGCTAGGTAAGCCACTGCCTCCAGCGCCAGCATCCCACACGGGTGCGGACTGGAGTTCCGGAGTTCCACTTCTGATCCAGCTCGCTCCTAGTGTGCCTGGGAAGGCAGCAAAAATCGAGCAGGTGCTTGGGCCGCTGCACCCACGTGGCAGACTGATGAAGCCTCTGGCTTCATTTCCAACCATTGTAGACATTTGGGGAGTGGACTAGTGAAAGCCACATCTTTTCTCCTTCTCTAAAGCAGACTTTCAAATACATATTTTTTTTGAAATTATTTCATTTAAATATTATAAGCTCTAGTAGTACAAATGCAATCACAAGACTTCTTTGCCCAAAACTTCACTACAAATTTAAAACAGTTACATAATGTTCCAAATTAAATGTTCCTCTTAACTTTTATATGCAGAATAAATTCTGAATTCATGTACAGAATGGGAGTTCTCTCAAATACACGAACACACATACACACTTGTGAGAAAGCTACACCTAGTGTAGTAACATAAGTAGCACTCACATGTTTTTAAGCAATGTCAAGATATTAGTCCTTAGCTCTCACCTGTTTTGTAATGAAAGTATTAAAGTAAATCTGTTAGCCCTGGGCCTAGCAACATGAAACAGTATTAATGCACTTCAAAGGTAAAATGAGGCCCTGTATGGTAGCCTAGCAGCTAAAGTTCTTGCCTTCTATGTGCCAGGATCCCATATGGGCACTGGTTCTAATCTAAGACCGAGTGAGGTCTTCACCCACTAACGCACGCCTGAAGTGTCTGCACGGCCAGGGGCTGGACCAGGCGGGTGGAAGCCAAGAGCTTGGGTCTCACAGGGCTGGCAAGAATCCAAGAATTTGGGTTACCTGGGGCTTTCCCAGATGCCAGAGAGCTGGACACAAAATACAGCAGCTGGGACTCAAACTGAAACCTCTATGGTGTCCCTCTATGGGCTCCTGGTGTCCCAGGAGGCGGCTTACCTCTGCTCCACAGCCTTGACCCGCATGCTAGCTTTTAATGACATTTGCAGCGCATGCTTCCCGGTAGTTCTCATTATCAAACGTCCCAATCGTTCCTGGCACGGGAGTGTATCTCGGAGTGGTTTCTCTTTCTCCCTCCGCAGCTTTGCCCTCTGGTGACCACAGCAAGCTTTGACCTCTAGGAAACTCCCTGCAACAGTACCCACGGGAGAGTCCCCGCCATCAGGGCATCTCCGTCAAAGTGTTTCACTTCAGATATCCTGCCTTCTCCTTTTCTATTTTGTTCTGGTTAAGCACATAAGAATGAAGTGATTCCATGATTTATTCGTAGTTATTTAAAATCTTTCCCAATTCCCCCACTAAAATTGTACCAATGATTTTGCCTGCTGTGTTAGCTACAGTTAAAAAGAAATATTAAACATGAAGCTTGGCTTCTTCTCACACCATATGGTTGACTCCTTTTAATGGAAGTGGCACTGCCCCTGAGAACAAAGCAACTTGATCCTATCTGCTATTGACAGAAAAGGATGGTCTAGAATTTTGAGCTTGGGGAAGAAGGTACAATGCAAGACATCACAGGCGTAAGCAGAAAACAAGCCCTTCCCTGACCCAAGCATCTCTCACCGCATTAACATGTCTGTTTGGCTGCACTAATTTTTTTAAAGATTTGTTTGTTTTTATTGTAAAGTCAGATATATAGAGAGAGGAGGAGAGAGAGAGGAAGATCTTCTGTCCGATGATTCACTCCCCAAGTGAGCACAATGGCCGGTGCTATGCCGCTCCGAAGCCAGGAGCCAGGAACTCTTCCGGGTCCCCCACATGGGTGCAGGATCCCAAAGCTTTGGGCCGTCCTCGACTGCTTTCCCAGGCCACAAGCAGGGAGCTGGATGGGAAGCATGGCTGTCGGGATTAGAACTGGCACCCATATGGGATCCTGGCACATTCAAGGCAAGGACTTTAACCGCTAGGCCACACCACTAGGCCCCTGTACTATTTTTTAAAATCAACCAGAGAGACACACAAATTCATCCAAGACTTTTTTTTAAAGCCATGGGTGATTGGGTTTGATATGTTAATCCCCTAGATAATAGCAAATACAATTTCATCCTGAGGCCTCCCTAGCAAAAGGCAGCAGCCAGGAGACTGCATCGGGAAGGAGGAGAAGAGATGGCACTTATCGAGTCTGTCCTGGGCACAGATCACCTGTCAGGGGTCGTTACCAGGCATCAGCCTAACTCAAGCTCAGCGCTCACGTCCACACTGGGTCTGCCATCAATAATGCAGTATCCCGTCTGACAGCAGCAGCCACACCGCCGCAAAGCAGGCAGCGTTCTTTTATTTCCATTTCCTTGTCATCCATTTTCTTCCAGCCTGGATCAAATGATGGATTAACTATTTTACAGTCGGGGTGATAAAGCACAAACATGAAAGCACAAAATTCCATCACGTAAGTGAGCACTCAAGAAAATTACAAAAATATATCCTGGTCTTCCAATTGTACCGCAAGTTTATTCAACTGAGGCTCAACTAACTCCAAAATCCTTACATGGACACATGCCTATTGCTGGTAAAACCTTTGACTTTCAGATCACGAGTCAAATGATAAGCAAATTTCAGTGACTGAAGGTCCAGGGGATAGGACTGTGTCACAGAGGACTAAGCCACTGCTGGAGACGCCAGCATCCCAAATGAGCGTTCTGTATGAGAGCACCTGGTTTGAGTGGTGAGGACTACTCTGCTTCTGATCAGCTCCCTGCTAACACATCTGGGAAAGCTGGGTGAGATGAACCAAGTACACGGACCGCTGCCTTTAGCCTGGCCCAGCCCTGGCAGTTGTGGCATTCGGGGAGGGAACCAGTAGACTCAAGAACCCTCTGTGTTGGTGTCTCTGACTTCCAAATTAAATGAAAATAAACTGGGCCCTGCATGGTGGCTCACCTTGCAAATGCCAGGATCTATGTGGGTGCCAATTTGTGTCCTAGCTGCTCTACTTCCCGTCCAGCTCCCTGCTTGTGGCCTGGGAAAGCAGTCAAGGACGGCCCAAAGCCTTGGGACCCTACACCCTTGTAGGAGACCCAGAAGTTGTTCCTGGCTCTGATCATTGCGGTCACTTCGGGGAATGAACCGGCAGATGGAAGATCTTTCTGTCTCTTCTCTCTGTAAATTTGCCTTTCCAATAAAAATAAATAAATCTTTAAAGAAAAAAAAGAGAGAAAAACCTAAATGATAAATGAATATCAAAAGAAAGGGTCCAGTGCGGTGGCCTAGTGACTAAAGTCCTCGTCTTGAACGCACTGGGATCCTATATGGACGCCGGTTCTAATCCCGGAAGCTCCACTTCCCATCCAGCTCCCTGCTTGTGGCCTGGGAAATCAGTCAAGAATGGCCCAAAGCCTTGGGACCCTACACCCGCGTGGGAGACCTGGAAGAGGTTCCTGGCTCCTGGCTTCGGAGCAGTGAAGCACCAGCCATTGCAGTCACTTGGGGAGTGAATCATCAGACAGATCTTCCTCTCTGTCTCTCCTCCTCTCTATATATTTCTGACTTTACAATAAAAATAAATAAATCTTAAAAAAAATCAAAAGAAAAAAGAGAAACCAAAATGAATGTTGGATATAATACATTGCTACAAGGAATCTAGCCCAGGTCATTTATATTGCCTAAGAAATATTATCCAACATGTTCTCCACTCCCTTTAAAAGGAGACAACAGCTCTACTGTTTGTAACCCGGCATTATGATGAAAGATGTGAGGATTATAAAAAGCAAGGAAATTATTTTTGTGGTTAAAATCTTATCAGATACACAAAGGA